TAGACTTGTCATCGTCGTCTTTTTCTTTATCTTGTCTTTATCTTTGTCAGGACAGTGCGAGGCTGGATGTCCTTTATCGTGGCAGGAAAAACATTCTTTCTCTTTCCAGTATTCTTTATCATAGCGCGCGTTTCCGCGGCCTTTTCCTCTGCCACCACCCCGTCCTCTCCGCCTTTTGCTGTCTGAGCAAAGGAGCTTCCGTGGGAAGTGGACTGTCGTGGGATGTTACTCTTTGGTGTGTTTGTCCAAAAGGTGTAATACCTCATGTAACGTGTGGGGATAGTTATCAGTTCCTTTGGCAAAGTCGTCCCTCAGGTTCTGTTTAAGTTGGTTTTTCGGCTGAACTATTTGTTAAGAAGATGTAACTATAGTACCGTTCTTCAGCGTATTCCGAGACTTTCTTCTGGTCATCGGCTCCTAGGTCAGCGTATGCTGTGTTTGTGGTGGAGGAGTTTCGCCGTATGCAGCAGGGCTGCATCGTGTATCTTTGAAATACCCACGGATTTTGCATGTCCTTTTTCGTGGTAATTGCTCGTGGTATTCGGACGGTAAGGCTCCCTTGGTGAAATTCAACAGTTGTTTTTCCAGTTGGAATAATGTGTGGTACACAAAATTATCATCGGTCTTGGCCATGATCGTCTTATGGATCATTTTTCGTAGTCCAGTGGGTCGCATCTTAACAGGACGTCTTCGTAGTCCGTGTTCTGCTTTATCTTGTCCTTTAATAGTCGGGTGCACTGCCCTAGGATCAAGTTGAAAGCCTTGCCTCTATTTTCTGTAGTTTTGCCAACCTCGTAGGTGGGTCTTCATCAGCCCTGCATACTCTGCTCTCTCGAGTCCGCGAGTTCCTCGTCCGGTGGATCTTCTATGGCTGCAGTGAGGTTGGCCTTTCATTTTCGAGTTTTGCTTTCTCTATCGTTTGTGTGCGTAAGCTACCGAGAGTTGGTTTTCAATGACCTCTGCTATCTCGTCTTTCAGTAGCTCTAGGCTTTCCTGGTGCCGTTAGGAGACGAAGGTTTGTTCTGTTCACGTCGTTCCGCGCGGCGTCAAGCCTGTTCCGGGTCTCCTCTGAGTACACGGTGCTACCAACACTGTCTGTTTCAGGTTGCGTAGCTCATTGCTCATGTCGTCACCCATCGTTTGTCTCAACGTGGATGACGATCTTTTCCCATGTGCGTATCATCTGGTCTGCCGTTCCAGATCCAGTTGTACGAAGTTAAACACATGTTGGTCGAGGGCTTTGCATGAACCTTTCTGCTGGTCGACGATGGGCTGGTTCTCCATGCCTCGTGCTTTGCCGCCTCCTCGGCCACCTCGTCCTTTACCTCTACCGCTTATTGTCTATGCTACGGTAGGTGGACTATTTCAATTCTTGTTTTTTGATTGACTAGCTCTTTTAATTTAAGTTCTCGTCGACTACTTATTCGTCTTATGGCTATGGGGCGATAAACTTCAAATTATTCTCCTGGCTAGGGAGTGTTAAATCTATTTACTAAAGATCTTGCAGGGAGGAACGATTGCTTCACACACTGTGCGGTCGTTTCCATCCGAACCCGTTTCTTTGTATTGTTGATTCCTGTTGGGTGCCTTTCCTTTGGCCCCTGCGCTGGCACTATGGCTTTCGCGCTTGTTGTTGGCTCTGACAGTTCCGGCTGGATGCTGTCGGCTCTCCTGACTGTGTCGTCGTCGACTGCAGTCTCCTATCGGCACGACGATCCTCGGTCGTCCGATCTTGCTCTTCACTCGCTGCGTCGTCGCGATCCGTCCTCGGATCCGTTGCGGCGTCGCTGTTCTTCGGCGGCTTGGACTCGTCCTCGAATCCTTGGTGCTGCCGGCTTCTCTTGTTGCTGTCAAATGACAGTCTCCTCGCTGTTGCTGTCGATGCTTCGACAGGCTTGGTCTCTATCGATCTTCTTCTCCTCGCGTCGCGATCGGCAATCCGTCCTCGGATCCTTGCGTCGTCGCGATCGGCGGTTGGCTTCGGCTTCTGCGTCGGCCGATACTCGCTCGTGCTTCCTGCTACCGATGGCTACGTTGCTTCGTTGCTTCGATAGACTCCTCTTCGACTCGATAGTAGACCACTGCTATTCGTGATAGCAGCCTTTTTCAGTAGTATGTTAGTTGCTCTAAGCTCTCTTCTAGTTTACTGTTGCTATTGAGATACTACTGAAAAAGTGGGTTCCTTGGCTTTTTCTACTGGCATCAAATTCTAGTACAGAGGTACAGGTTGAATCCCTAATCGCGAATCCCCAACAAGCAAGACATCATAGTGATGCGCGTTGTGCACACCTGCTTTCACTTACCAGGATCGCAGGGTCGCAAAGAATTGCTCTGGCAATAGCCAACCTCTGCTTTTCGCCACCACTGACGGTCCCCTGGGAGCTAATGTCAGTGTTGAGACCTTTGTTAGGATGAGAGCAGAGAGCAGAGTTAGGGAGTGACCTATTGAGACACTTGACAGGCGAGACAAGACAAGACCATCATGAGCATCGCACCTTTTGGAAACTTTTCTTTGTCTTGGATCGAGTCCCAAATATTGGCTGCTTTGAGGGCATCCTCAATCTCTTTCAATGATGGCTCTTTCTTGCAACCAAAGACCAGATTCTACAACCACATCACGAGTTCGAGATTATGCGAGAGGGAGATGGAGGAACGAATTCGTTGGATCAGGCCTTGATCATCGAAAGCAAAGCAGATGCGATCCCTACCTGTCGGATTGACATTGGCACAAGCTTTGGTTCTTGGGCGACGACAGTAATCTGACTACGTAGCCAAACGGGGTTGTACTCTTTCAAGTCCTTTCCGTCCAGCAAGATTTGACCTCCAGAAACGTCATAGAACCTTTCGAGCAGCCTCATTGCGGTACTCTTTCCGCAGCCTGAAATGACCGAATCGCATGAGCTTGTTTGCAAGAGGCTCTCGGCAACAGTTTCGTGCTAGTACAAGTCATCTTACCTGCAGAACCAGTGATACCCAAAGTTGTACCGGGTTTGACCTCAAATGACGCGCCTTTCAGTACCTGCCCTCCGCGGGGGTACGAAAATTCGACATCCTGTTGGTGTGGAAAACTAGTGTCAGAAATATATTCAAGTCCTTGCAATGATGGGGTTGGTAATGATGCACTCCAGTAAAGACTTACCTTGAACTGGATGTGGCCTTTAGGTCTTTCGGCTGGAACAAGCCCAACATCTGGGTCGATCTTGCTCTTGAGAGTGCACAGATCGTATACTTTGGCAATTGGTTTGGCTTGATCAACAAAGCCTTTGAACAAACCCCATGTTTCCTGTGTGCCGGATGCGACTTTATCGGCGGAGTCCATCAAATTGTTCGCATGGGCAATTCCAATGGTTCCCGAGGTTACCAAACCCTTTGTCGTGTCCAGCTGAGCAACGGAGCTAGCTTGCTCGATGATTGCATCTACGAGAAGACGGACCAGCGCACAATGAGCGAGAGACATCATGCAGTGAAGGCAAACCCTCATGTCCAACCATTTGGAAAAGAGATCCGATCACAAGCACTCACCAACAGGCCCCTGTAGTGCCTTGACCACAAATTCTCGTTGTCTTTACGGCAAGCATCCAGACAGTGCCCATTAGTCAAAGCGTAGTACATGTACCTGTTTCAACGTCTCTTCTGTGACCACTTACTCCGTTTCGCGATTGGTTCTAAGTTCATCAGCAAACCTTTGAATTTCGATGTGATCTCTGGCGAAGGACTTCCCACGTAGCAGCGAAAGAAACAATGATGTCAACTTAGGATTGACCGGGCCAAAGCGACGGCAAGGCAATCATTGGCATACTCGTACCTGGTAGGTTCGAACATATTCTGGCTTTAGCCGTTGTTCCCAGTGCTGGGCTTCAGAATCCTCAACCACTGTCACGTGAGGGGAACAGAGTGTCAGATAAAGGGTTACGCCTGAATCATGGTCATCCACCCGAGCGAGTGGGCACCAAGGCATTCCAGTGCTTACCTGATTGGTTTGCAACACGCTTGAGCCAACCAAAGAAGAATGACATTACCCAGTTGAAGAACATGGCTCCAAACTGCGCCAGAAGCAGCATGGATAGACTTGATGAAGAGGCACCGTAAATGATCATGGCATAAGTGCTGATTGAAGTGACGCATCTCACGAAACTCTGAGGAGTTTGTAAGAACTTTTTGACCTCATCCGACAGAGTATACCCAATCTCGTAACAAAGCCAATCATTGATACGACCCTCCCGTTCCATGGTCCTCCACCACTCAAGATCTCGTTTGGTGTACGCTTCAAAACATCTGATTTGAACGTTTCGGGCAATGACCGCCTCACCACGCTCACTGAGGATGTCTTTTACTAGCACCATCATCGTGCACAAGAGGTCAACCAAAACCATGGCTTGAACTGCCTCCCAGAACGATTCGCCTCCTTTACTTAGGCTGTCCAAGAGCATCGCACGGTAGTACATCGACCAGGCACTCGTGGAAGCCGTAATAGTAGTGGCCACGGTCTGGGCGGCCACCCACGCCAAACCGTCGGAACCAGACAAGACTACCATCTTTGCTGCTTTGGAAACAGCTTCCAATCCCAATTTGGTATTCAACAACCACCCTTCCCTTCGAAGAGCATAGATTCGTTTCCACTCTTCCTTACTGGGTTGGTATTTGCTGCATCGGTTGGTCCATCCCAACAGATATTTGAATCTGAATTCTATCAATCCGCCAAGCTTCTCTCCGTCCGCATAAATCAAGTCCTTCTGTTCTCTGGTCTTGGCAATGGCAATGCGTGCTTCTTTTTGAAACAAGCGCCAAGCCCAACGCACTGCATCATCCATGGTTTCCTGCTTGCGGTCAGATAGTTCTGTAAGGTCCCAAGTTTTTACAAACATTTCTTTGAAATCAACGGTACCAAGTTCGTCGCTTTCCAAGTCTTCCGATTCTTCCAATGTCTTGACGTATTCTTCAACCACTTCGTGTCGTTTGGCATAGTGCTCTGTTGGTGGAGGAGAATGGGGAAATAGTACAATACAATCGTGCAATGTTGGATTGGACCAAATACGCTGCAACAGTCCAACCCACATTGCTGATTACTGTACTTACGCTTGTACATGGCTTCCTGTTCCTCTGACTTTTCGGCCGTGAGAATGCTGATAACCTGGAATAAAACCAGAAGCACAATAAGGCCAATGGTGATCGGCACATTGCGGGCAATACAAGAGATCTCGGGGGGCCATGACCCTGTGCAATCTTCAGAAGCAAATCCTTTCAGGGTTTCTACCACAACTCCAGGATCACCACCTGACTGGTAAGCCACAGCGCCCAACGCGACGGCGATAACACCCACGCTGTAGCTGGACATGGTCGACAAGCTCAAAGCAAAACCAATTTTTCGGTATTCTGTTTAGGGAAGAAGATCCAAAAATTGTGAGAATCCAATCAGCACTCCAAAGTACTAGCTAGTAGCCACCGGTACCGGCACTGCTACCGGTAACTGGTACCGACCTATCGCGTGCACTGACAGCTTAGAAGCGTTTATGGAGTGAATGGGATCAGGGTCATGGTTGTTTGAAAGATCTCTCACAAAAGATACTTACTTGTGCCGGTGCCTGCGGTATCGGGAATAAAAGAGCGGTTTTCGGGCGTTCACATAGTGTCTTGACAGTCAAGGGGGTGAGGGAATAGTTGGTAGGTAAATCAATAATACTCTACCCCATAATCTTAAGTGTGTTTAGGGTCAGGGGCCATGTGTGTTTGTTGTCCTTGCTTGCTTGGAGGCTTCAAGGTTTGGCGGATCGGGAGGGACTTGGTACCCAGCTACTAGTACCATATCCATGGTCACGTTCTAGTCCCACAGGCGGGACTCATAGATTTAAGACTCCCTCCAGTGGAGCCGTGACACCTCCAGCGGAATTCATAAAGAAACACGATGAACGAGTTGACGATGGTGCTTTACAGAGCCGTAGCGGCCTAACCAGTACATATAATAAGGTGCTACTATCATTAACTTGACTACTGGTCACTATGGGAGCCTCCTAGGAAAGCTCCGCATACTCCTGGGTGAATCCGCCAAGTTCTTCGAACGAATCAATGGAATCGAGGGAATCGTTGTGGTCTTTCCAGGTCTTGATGCTCTGCTTGGTGCTCCTGGTGCCATAGCGGCGACGAGGGACTTCCTTGATGACGACCTCCTCTTCAGAATCCTCAAACTCAGTCTCAGAGCCGGAATCGGACTGTTCGGCAGCAGCAGGCTTCGCGGCAGGCTTCTTGTCCTCGACAGATTCTTCGTCAGAATCGACAATCTCCACCACCTCTTCCTTGCCTCCGCCGAGGAAATGGGTGCCAATGGCCTCCGCAAGAGCCATCATGGCTTCTTTCGACTCAAAGTTCATGGTCAAGAGAGGTCCTCCTCCTCCAAGAGATCCTCCAGTAGGACGCCAAACAATGGTGGTATCATCAATAACCTTGATGGTCTTGGGATTGACAGTGGCAACGACGGCAAGCTGGGACATGGTTGGTCGGTTGGTCGGTTGGTTGGCTACGCAAGGAGATTCTTGTTGACTCGATTGATGAGATAATGAGACGAAGAGGACAAGAGGACAAGCGTCTCCGCGCCATTTTCTGGGTTTTTGATGTGAAGAATTTGAATTTAAAAGCCGACACAACAACCAATGATGAGCCGCAGACTGCCGTGCATGCCCTGCTTTGCCGTGCATGCCTTGCTTTGCCGTGCATGGAAGCCATTCAAATAGCTTTCGGACGGAATCATTCTGTGCTACGGAAGCTCCATTCTTCGGCTTGCCTTTGCTTTGCAGACCAGACGTCCTTTTGCCACGGCTCTACATCCTACATTGGTTGGTTTGCCACGGAAGCCGCCCACACCACACGTCCTTTTGCCACGGAAGCCCTCTCTACATCCCACGTCCTGTTGCAATCATGGAACCCTACTACATGCCTTTGCGAGACCTTGATGGCAATTTGGCCGAGCTGAATGGTGGTATGATCTCCCTCCGTTGGACCAATGAAGCTGGACCCCACATTGTTAGAGGATCTGTGTCTATTGAGAGAGTCCCTGGCGGCACTGGTCAGTTTCGTATTGAATACCGTGGTTGCCAGATCCTTACAGATGCCAACAATCGCCCCATTGGAGACGGTGCCCGGGTTAGCGGCTTCATCCCTTTGCCTACCATTAACCGCGAACAATGGGCAGTCAACAGCCGAAAGCAGAGGAGCCGCAATGATCCAACCAAGCGTGTTTTCATCTTCAGACTCCATTTCCCCGACAGCGATGCTCCAGAAGGATTGACCGAAGTGAGAGTTATTGCTCCTTTGCCTCGTGACAGAGATGCTAGGGCGGTTGCCATCGAACTTTGTGAGCGCTTCCGTGCCGGCCTTATCTTCGCTGCCTCTGAAGCCAAGCACTTTTCCGGCTAGCTAGCTAGCTAGAACGTGTATTGGAAAGGCGAGTCTCAATAAGAAACATAGGATAATCGTATACTAGAAAATGTTATAAACTACGATTGATTGGTCAACTAGCTAGCGCATCATAGCAGCAGCTAGCGCGGCAACTCACTCATTGGCGGCAACTCACTCTACTCTTCGGCGTCACCGTCACTGTTGTTGCCATCGTATCCCCACTCTTTGCTATCGAACGCGTCTTTATGCTGCACCAAGTAGCAGCTGTTTGCCGCAAAGAAATGGGACCACTCACCGTCCTTTGTCATTACGGGGACACGAATGAACTCTTTGGGTTGGTCGATGCCGTCGTTGGCCGCAGCGATGGCTTTTGCTTTCTTCTCCGTCATTGATACTCCGGCACAAAGGAAGTTCTTGCATCCCGAGCAATAGAAGGCGGTGTTCTGTTTGCAGAGGCGACAAGGCTTGCGGACATCAACCTTCTTTCCTTTCGTAGCAGCATTCGGATCGGCAACTCGGATCATCAGCACTCGTCCATCACAAACTCTCTCTCGCTCTTGGTGGAGAGCGTTGAGAGCTCGTCCTCTGCAGGGGGTGTAGCCAGCCTGCAAACTGTCGGCCCATCCAAGCTTTGCGGACTCCTTAAACCCTCGTCGAAATCGTTGGGGAGGTGTTTCCGGTGCAACAATGAGAGGACGACTGTTGCCGTTGGAAGCAGTCGCAGCAGCAGCACTAGCTCCCGTTCGTTCCTGCTCCATGCAACGGACAAGCAAGTCGATGCTTCGCGACATGTCGACTCTGTTGTTGGCCGCGTGCCTAGCGTTGAAAACGGTACTGTGCTTGGAGAGTTTTGTCTTGATCATTTGGTTTGTCCTGTGGAATGCGACACCACCAATAGTTAGGAGACGAGCTGTTGCGATGTTTCGAGGTGTACGAATGCCAAGCTTCTCTTCGACGTTGTCAATCAGCTTCGTTGTGGTATCAGAAGGGCCTTTCATTGCGTTCCAATAGGCGTTCTGGAAAGGAATGCATCTTGCTGCCGGTGGGAGCGGGAAAGAGATGCCTTGGCTGATTTCAGCATCAACATTGAGTGCTCTCCAGACTCCATAGTTTGTCCAGAATGAGTGCTCATCAAGATGCTCGACCTCCTCGATTGCATGACCAAGAGTAGCACCGAACCTTTCGTTCAGCTCTGCTGTAGAGTATTCATAGAACGGCTTCAAGTAGGTGCAGTAGAAGTGATTCATTAGCTCCGTGTAGGCGTCCAAGAGATTGTCATCAAACGTAACATCGACTCCATACATTAGACGGTTCTCAGAGCCAACAAGAAGCAGTCCACGTGACGTCCCAGAGACAAATGCTCCATGCAACAGCTGGAACGACTCATGCTGTTCCCGTCTTGGGTTGTTTTCATCGTGCAGAAGCAGCCTGAAGAGAGGGTCGCTTGATGAGGCACTAACAAGATACTTCGAAGTTCGATTGTACTCCTCGACGCCAACTACATCCTCAATTCGATCGGCGGCCTCCGTCATCGTTGACTGCGCTACTCTGCTTTTCACCTCGACTGGGAGGAATACGTCATCATCAAAGTCGTCTTTGACGAAAGCCACTGCATCCAAACTTGCCTTTGCGAATTTGCTTCCTTTCTTTCGCATCAAACCCACTCGATAGATGGCTGTAGGTTTGAGGGCGGAGAATGAGTAAGCTTGATTGTCCCCTCCTTGCTTCTTGCATTCGTCAAAGAAGGCCTTCAAAAACGGCTCTTCATTGCGATGACCAATAGCAGCGGCACCACGATCGAGGTCATTCTGTGGCCGAAGGAATGATTGCGTCAACAGTCGCTTGAAAGGGGCCATCGCATCCAGCTCACTCGGATCAAGTGCATCGTTCTTTTTTTGCGGCTTCTGCCTCTGTTCGCTTGCAGGCTTGACGAGTTCATCAATGATTGCCGACTTCTTGCCTTTCACGATCACTCTGTTGTCTGCTGCAATCGTCTTCAATTGAGCAACTGTGAGAGGCTCAAACAGCCGTCTCTTCTTGGGCTTTGACAGCCAGTCTTGAAAGAATTTCTTCGTTGCAGGGAGCCCTGTTTCCTTGAAGCCCGTCTTCTTGAGTAGCGACTGCATCCAACAGAGCAATTCGATCTTATCTTTCACTGTTGTCTTGTCCTTGAGGGCACACTCTTTAAACTCAGCATCCGCATCACCATTCGTTGGATCAACAAGCTTGTCGATCCATTCTTGGGCTTGGACTCGAACGGGCCTGTCCGCAAGAAAGATATCATTGGATCCGTCGCTGTCATTGCCATCAACCATTGAATCTTCAGCGGCAACAGCAGCTTCGGCTGCGGCGATGGCGGCTTCTTCTGCGGCTTTGGCTGCCTCTTCTTCTCTTTTACGGATCGCACTCCCAAGGATGCTCTTGTCAACTCCAGCATACTCGAGGACAGTTTCAAAGGCCATCCACAAATCAAGATCATCCTCGTCCATCTCCATGAGAGGGGCAATCTCAAGAATAAGGGAACAAATGGTGCTGGACGTGCCCGAAAACTGTCGATCAACAAACCAATCGGCAGTGCCTTGAGTGCAGGTCCGTGGCTCAAGTTTGTCGAACAGCATTGTAGCATGGGACTCTTCAGGATCGCCTACAAGCAACTTCATGGCCTTTTTCTTCCGGTCAAGTGGATCCATCTCTTTGTCATAGTACCAACGATGGTCGGCTTCGCTTGCCGGAGTAAAATCATAGTGGTCTCTCCTGTAGATCGAAGAGGCGATCATAGCAACAGCAGTTCCAGTTCCACTCCGATAGGCGAAGAGATCAAGCTTCCGTTGCGCTTCCGTTCCCTTCCATTTGAGGCCCATGTGATAGGTATCTTTGTATCCTTTCATGTTGACTTTCTTTGGCTTGTTTGGAAACTCCGCCTCAGGATCAACCTGCTGCGGCTTTGCGGTATCATCCTTCTCGCCCTTAACAAATGTGTAGGGCACCCAATCCATCCGTCTGACTGTGCCGTGGATGTCGGCTCCTTTCTCAAGCAATTCAAACATGACCTTCGCATTCCAATACCCTCGGTCCATGAAGAATGTCACATTCGATAGTCGAACCAACTTGCCGGTGTGCTTCCCAAAAAGATCGTTGATGAGTCGCCTTGTACACTCTACGACCGTCTCTCCTTCTCGCTGAAAGGCAACCTGAATCGGAACACACGTGGCCGAATGGCAGCAGGTGTGAGCCGTGAAACCTCTCCGGTTGTCTTGTGCGTGGTGGTCTCTTTTCAACCCGTCGGCATCCGTGCTTGTGCTGTAGTTGAAATGCAATTTGTCATCGTCTAAACCAAGCAACCAGGGCATCACTAAGCGAAGGGCTTCAGTTTCCTCGTCATCATTCGGTCCAATGAAGAGCTCCATCAAACAATCGTTGATAATCGTTTCTAGCTCCTGCCAGAACGATTCTCCCCGAGCATTCCTTGGTAGAGCGGAAAGTCTGGACCAAATCGTGTTGTATTGCCGCAAAGGCATCAAATCAAAGTTGTCGATAGAGCGATGCAAAGCAGCAACAGGCATTTTGTAGCGGCAAGACTTCAGAAAGGTGACCATGAAATGGAGATACTCTTGTTTCGAGAGCTCCAGCTTGGTTTGCAATAGCACTCCAATCCGACTGTCTTGGCCAAATAGAAACTTGTACGCCGCCATCATTTCTGTTGTGGCATTCAGTTTCTCCTTGATCTTGCCAATGTTGCTCTTGAAGAGCCCATGCTCTTGCTTGAATTGCTGCCAAAGAACTCTTCTGGCCTTTCCCACGGTGATGTGGTACTTCGTATCTTTTGGGTCCACTTCCGTCCAGTCTTTCAACGGTGGTGGAATCTTCCCTTGATTGTCCTTTTCATGCATCTCGCGCACCTGATCAGCTGACAACCAATGGAGATCAGCCTCTTCAAAAAAGTCTTCCAGCGTGTCCGGCTCTGTCGGTGGCGACAGAGCCATGGAATCTTCATCGGAATCAGACTCGAATCCAGACGCCATCGTTGACTCGAATCCAGATGCAGTCGTCGCTGACTGTTGTTGTTGTTGTTGTTGTTGTTGTTGTTGTTGCGGCTGTTGTGGCTGCTGACTTGGTCCATGACGGCTCCCTGCTGCTTCCCTCGTAAGTCTAGGAACGTTCCTGCGGTATAGCTTGGCCAAAATAACGAATTGACCGCCATCTTCCGTTCAGAACGTTCGTGTCGATCCTTCCTCTCTTTTGTGCGGCAAATCCGACGGATAAAGCACTGATAAGCAAGTCATGAGTGCGTAATAGTTAGGTTGATGCTTCCCAGTTGTCGCTGTGAGCGTTCTGGATGAAAACTGGTGGGGATAGTGCCATCGTCAGTGGCATGGAGGCATCGAGAGTGCTCACTGCCACTGGTGGGATCTATCAATCGAAAAAGGGATTCATTTTCCTTCTGAATCCATCAGCGGGATTCATTTAGACAGCTAAGCTGGCAACGTGATCATGGATATCTTCTTGGCACGCGAGGAAGAAAACACCATGAAGATGGAGGTAGGTCATTCACGTTGCGCATTAGGGCTGGGGTTAACTCCAACTGTGACTAACCCGATTGCTTTCTGTTCGTTTGACAGTTCTCGGCTTACTCGCGGGAGATCTTGAAGCAAGCTCAAGCCAACTCGAAGCGCATGTTCGAAGAGCTCTGGGATCTCAGCAAGTCCATCACATCTCACGCTCTGGACACCAACAGTTCTTGGCCGAACTGCACTCTCCCCTACTTCGACATTCACGCACATGACTTGAAGAAAAAGACCGGAAACCTCGAGTTTGTTGGCTTTGCACCCTTTGTAACACCCGAGAATCGGGCCGGCTGGGAACAATACTCTGTGGACAATCAAGGCTGGATCCAACAAGACTATAACTATCGCAATTGGACCCATGCTGCTGCTCCTATTCCTACTTCCATCCATCAATACAACGGCAGCGGTCTCACCCAAGAAGATTATGTCTTTGAAGATCCGCAGTTCGACTACGAGATCCCCCTTTGGCAAATTGCTCCTGCACAAAACGACACTTCCGTCATCAACCTCGATTTGGCTACCGTTCCCGTGTTTGCGCACCTCCTCTGGGACATTAAGATGAAAAAGGTCGAGCAATACTCCCGCATCATGGACCTCCATTTCCTGCTTGGCGACAATCTAAACCAAAACAACCCAGATCACCCCAGAGGGACTATTTATCAACCAGTCATGGAAGACTTTCGCGAAAATGCCGATGTTGTCGGCTTTACCATGGGCACGTTGACATGGGACCTCATCTTCGAGAATGTCCTGTTTGACAGCTCGTCTCCGCTTTTGGTGGGGATTGAAGGGACATGCAACGCCATTTTCACCTACAAGATTGGTGGCGAAAGCATGCACGTTCAGTTTATGGGTTACGGGGAGGGGCTCAGAGACCCTCAGTTTGACAAATTCAAACAAAGCGCAGATCTCCTTCATCCACTGAACAATCGGCCTGGCTATCCTCCTGTGAAACATACACATCGACACACCGACGCGTCGCATGGGGACAGTCATTGCACCTACGTCATGAATACGTATCCCACCCAAGAATTCAAGGATCACTACACCAGTGCTGAACCAATCTACATGACAATCCTGATCGCCTCTATCTTCGTGTTTACCGCTTCAGTCTTCTTCCTCTACGACTACCTCGTGCAAAGGCGCCAGGCCAAGCTCTTGACAACTGCAGAGCGCACAACGGCGATTGTGACATCGTTGTTTCCGAAAGAAGTGGGAAAACGCCTTATCGAAGATGCGAAAAACGAACACAAGGAAAATGAGAAGAACAAGAAGAAGCAAGTCAATTTCTCGGATGCTGCGGGAGGTGCATTTGATGACGAGGATCAAACGGAGAACGATGGAACCATGCGGGGTGGTGGCATTGGCAAGCCAATCGCCGATATCTTCCCATCAGGTGCGTGGAATAGTACCACTGACCGCTTTCCAGGCAACGTCCGATTTGGTGACTTCACTAACGATTCATTCCCTCTTTCTTGCAGCGACGATTATGTTTGGGGACTTGGTGGGTTTCACCGCTTGGAGTAGTTCTCGGGAGCCCCAGCATGTGTTCATTCTGTTGGAGACTTTGTATGGGGCGTTTGATAAAATTGCGAAGCGTAGAAGAGTGTTCAAAATTGAAACGGGTAAGCGCTTTGAATTTGGAAGGAAGCAAGAAAGCTGCGAAAAGGAAGGTAGGTTCTCACTGGTTTACTCTACTTGCAACTTTCGTAGTGGGGGACTGCTACGGTAAGAGCTTTCCTGTTTTGAAAGACCCAACCCAGCACTGACTGCGCCTTCCTCAACTGTGTCGATCGTTTTTCTTGGATTTTTCAGTGGCGGTGTGTGGTTTGCCGGAGGAGCGACCTGATCATGCAGTGGCAATGGCCAGGTTTGCAAGGGACTGTTTGCAGAAACTTAAGGATCTGTTGATTTCTCTGGAGACGCATCTAGGCCCGGATACAACTGAGCTTGCAATGCGCATTGGTTTGCACAGCGGAGCGGTCACAGCTGGTAAGCATCGTTAGCAGCGCATTTGTTTCCAACGTTCATTTGGCCCAATGTCCACATCTCATGATTCCCTCCTTTGCCCAACTCGTTCTAATCTTTCAGGCGTGCTGCGGGGAGACCGTGCAAGGTTCCAGCTGTTTGGAGACAGGTATGCTATATATGCTTTACATGGAGTATATAACGGTCCGTTCAAAGCTCTCACATTTCATGCGGCTCCAGTGTCAATACTTGCGCCCGAATCGAGACGACGGGGCAACGGAATCGCATCCATGTTTCCGAACAGACTGCAAAGCTCTTGATTGCTGCAGGGAAGCAACGTTGGGTGGTCCCGCGAGAGGATCGGGTGGAAGCCAAGGGTAAAGGAACTCTTACTACTTTTTGGCTCACTGAAGGTGTTGGCTCTGATGGAATGTCAGCTACTTGCTCTTCGAACGATGATTCCTGCTGGTTGGAAGATGACAGTGCCGCCAAGCAAAACGAACTTTCCGCGAGAGACCGTCGCCTTGTTGACTGGCACGTCGAAACGTTGAGTGGAATCCTTCGGCAAATCCAGGCACGACGAAACATATTGGGGTCAAAGGACAAGAAGAAGAAGAATTCAGGGGATCTCCGTTCCATGGAAGATAGATTCGGGACGGGAAGTCAAATGCTGCTTGACGAGGTCGAAGAAGTCATCGAGTTGCCTGTTTGCAGAAATGAAACTTGTCAAAGTTTTCTTGATGAAGCAGAGAAGTGCCGTCTCGACGTGGAAGTGGTTTCGGAGCTCTCTCGATTCATCAGCGCAATCGCTGCCCTGTACACCTCTCAAAATCCCTGTAAGTTGCGGCGTGTTTTGTGGCGTTCGTTGGTTTGGGAACTCCTGCTTGCACTGACCGCCGATTCATGGAATGATCTCTGGCTTCGTTGGAAACTCGTGCGCTGATAGTCCATAGTTGGGACCACGCTAGCCATGTCACGATGAGCGTTTGCAAGCTGCTTTCAAGGATCGTCTCCAAAGACGACAGTGCTCCGGAACATGACCACGCATTTGGGATTACAAGTGACCCACTGACGCAGTTCGCAGTCGTTCTAGCAGCTATTATCCATGATGCAGGTGAGTCGTTTCACCGTGCTACGTTTGTGGTCTAAATGGTCACACTCTCACATGGTTACCCGATTCAGATCATCCTGGCGTACCCAACTCAACACTCATCAGCGAGGGCTCGGAGCTTGCTGCTCTCTATCAAAACAAGAGCATAGCCGAGCAGAATTCCGTCAATCTTGTCTTCGATCTTCTATTCGAGAGCTCCTATTCCAACCTCCGAGCTGCAATCTATTCTGATGAAACGGAGCTCAAGAGGTTTCGACAACTGTTGGTCAACTGTAAGTACCCATCGCCTTGGTTTTGGCTGGGATGTTACAATGGCTCCGGATCCTCCTCACCGTTATTGGTATTTGATGAATAGCCGTAATGGCGACCGACATCATGGACAAGGAACTGGGTGCCCTTCGAAAAGCCAGGTGGAACAAAGCCTTCTCGAATGAAGTGTCTGTCAAGGAAGACCCCAACGTCGCAACGAATCGGAAGGCAACAATTGTTGTGAGTGCCTTGTTGTGCATCTTGCCTAGTTTCTGCCCCATTAGAGTTTTCTCATCCTGACATGGTTGATCACACCCTTTCACAGATTGAGCATCTGATCCAAGCATCTGATGTGGCGCATACAATGCAACACTGGTAAGACTTCTAGAGTTGTGCGGATGCCGAGCAGCAACATATATTCGTGTCTCACCTGCTAGCTTTCATTCATTTTCATTGCAGGCACATCTATCGGTGAGAATTTGTTGATGGGAGTGCACCGTGATGTTTCGGTCACAACGTTTTCTTTCTCACTGACTTTTGCTTCTTTGTGGCAGCAAATGGAACGAACTCCTGTTCATGGAAATGTACAAGGCGTACAAGGAGGGACGTGCCAAGGATCCATCTGAGAGCTGGTATCAGGGTGAAATGGGTAAGTGTCGACACATGAAACAATTGAAACAGCAAGTGTCACGTCCCATCTATTGTCAACCAAAATGTGGTCCTAACACGTGCATCTTGCAGGTTTCTTTGACTTCTACATCATACCTCTGGCTAAGAAACTAAAGGAATGCGGTGTCTTTGGGGTAGCAAGCGACGAATATCTTGACTACGCCATGAACAATCGGGCAGAGTGGGAGTCCAAGGGCCCCGAGCAGATTGAAATGTACATCCAACGTTACAACGCCGAGTGCGCGCCTAAAGAGCAGGGTCAAGCAAGCTCGTCAACAACGACCACGGCACTGCCTCCTTCGTTTGACTTGAGCTTTTCATCCGCAACTACAGTCGAGCTCACCGAAGAGGGTGGGGCAATGTCGAAGGATTTTCGGCACTATCTGAAGCGAGGTGTTCGACACTGTGATGTCTAAGCAATGCAAGTCGCGGTGCACAGTCCAAGATGTTCTCGTTATACGGTGAGAGCATTAGGATGCAGGTTCGATATGACTACAAACGTTATAGCTACGTGTTTCTACTTTTCAGTTAGTTCTTGTCTTGTGCACTGCTGGCATTGCCTGCCAGCCCAAACGGAAACCACATACAGCATCAGTGTCCCCATCGAGCCCGAGTTTGCACTGGTAAACATTGCTGCTGGACCCGCCTCCTGTGGACCTTCGCGGAGAATGGAAACTTGTGGGGTTCGGGCCACACATGGGAGACTGGGATCACCCGAGACAACAAGCCAAGCAGAATCCGTGGTAACGGTAGCGCTGGCCAGGGGGTGGCTGAGCATGGGGACAAGCAAAAGTTGAGCTAAGTTGGTTTGAAGTGGTCCATGCCAAGGAGAGAGCCGATAGTTCCTGTCCAAGAAGCAACGAAAACATTGCGCCTGTAGCAAGCAAAGAGTAACCCAGCCGACAAGGAATTCCTCGCAGAAAAGATCAGTCAAGATTGAATCATTCCAAGAATCCTCATTCTAGCTTTGACCCGCAGAAAAGACTAATTGTCTATAGAGTAACTTTGAAAGGCAAAACTCAGGGTACCTCGAGCATGGCTGTGCAGGCACGAGAGCGAAGCGACTACACTTTTGGAGGTGGATTTGACAAGAGGGACAATATCCCCTTCTTGGAGTGCAGAGCGCAGAGTTGAGTGACAGTCTGCTCTGTACTGTTTGGCCCCCCTGGGCGGCTGGTGGATCAAGCAAATGAAGCAGCACAGGACGAGCTGGGCAGCTACTCGTACCCGTAGCTCTCTGCCCGCCGGGTCAAGGAGAGGACCTCCCAGCGACAGAAACGGAACAGATTCGATTCGATTCGATTCGATTCAACAGGTAGAGAGCGATGCAAGCAGCCTTAGCCAAGCCAAACATTGGACTGAGGCGGTACAATGATTTGGCTGGTGGCCAGTCGTAAGTTCCACTAGGACTCAACCATTAGTCTGGATGCTCAGTGACAGCCAGGTCCTGATGTGATGCCCCAGCAGTCAATCATCCTCCCCTGGCCCCGACGGCCTGGTAAATGTGAATGGCCGATCAGTTTGATTTGGCTCTCTCTGATGAGAGACTGAAAGCAACAAACCCTTTCGCTATGGACTGCTTGACGCTTGATACATCCAGGCGTTTTGTTGCCAGCCAAAGCCTACCGGCGGTACCATTCAGGAAGCCATGCCAGGTCCTCTTTCTCAAAGTGGTGAACTCGGACCACTCTGGCTCTCTGGTGCTGCTTTGGCTTTTGGCTAACCACAATGAGATATAAGGAGTGTGACTCAGTGTGATGTGAGCGTAGTGCCTGCTCTTGGTCTACTGGAGTATATCCTGACACGATGAGCTGCTATGTGCTCCTTCATCTCTGGTGCTGCTTTGGCTTTTACCACAATGAGATATAAGGAGTGTGACTCAGTGTGAAGTGAGAGTGCATGTACTGCTTCAGCGTCGGAGCCTGTATGTTACTCCTAGCTAGCGTCGGAGCCTGTGCGTTGCTCCTCCGGATCCGGGCGACTCGGGAGATGCCCAACATCGAATGCTAGCATACAGGAAGATGCAGGCTGGCTATCTTGGGGAGAATGAGAAACTGCTCTACTAGCCTTTAGTCTACTCAAAACAGTACCGGTAGTGGTTTTATAGAGGGTGGAAGGAAAACGGCAAGCAATCTTCGTTTGGGAAGGTCCGATGATACGCTGAAACATTGGGGGCTGACGACTGACGATGATGATCATCGACCTGGTTCAACTTATAGTGTGTCGCAAGTGCCAAGCAAAGTTGACCAACTACTCTAGCTAGCTAGCCACAGCATGGTACTGTACCGCTACCACTGGTAGCTCTTACGCGCTACCTCGGCACCGTCCTAATTTGAAGGTAGCTTTTGTTAAGGATCAAGATTCACAATAACACAACAGAACAACAAACAAGGTACCGGTAACAGCAACGCCTTGGTTCTCTATTTATTTTGAGCTTTCCTTTCGCCGTTTTCCCACCAAGTACAGTGTAAGTCACCAAGACTCAATCTCAGACATGAAACAGATGAAGTCACAGTTGCGTTGCGAACAACATAACAGGCACTCTATGCAAATTACAGCAGCCTACGAGTCTTGATGAAGGAGAAGGAACATTCTAAGTGGCGGGGAAAGGGCACTTGTCAAAGCGAAAGACTGCGGTAGCAAGCTGGTCGGATAATAGGATGCTTATATTTGATGACGGTTCTTCCAGTTTCTTTTAGTTCATCTACAGTTTTATCATTCTGTTGGACTGGGATGTCCTATCCATATCTCGCATTTTCCCGCATCATCGTCAAAACTAAAAAATAAATAAGGTGGAGGATTGGTGAGAGGTAAAACGTGATCCAACGTGGTAAAAGGTGGTAAAAAAGGCGCGGAGTAAGTCTGTGTACTCGGTTGAAGGCGTTAGAAAGCGGTAAAACGTTCCTCCAGATGGTCCAGAGTGTTGCCGGAAATAGGAAGTTGTTGGTGTGCCACCCTCCCAAAACACGTGATGTCGAATTGGGACTGATTTGTCCGCGTGTTCAGCTAGTGCTGTAGTGCTGTTCTAACTAAGGGATACGTTTTAGGCCTCCAGACAAGGTATCTCTAAACACACATTCTCCGAAACAGCTACTACTACGTATACTTACTTGTATACTTACTTGGCGGTACCGGGCACCGGACAAGTTCCTCCTGGTGTATCGTACTCGTGTACTCCAAGAGCAGTGTCGGTGGTCGTCTAGTCGGAGCTCTTCGGATTATTAGGGATGCTCCTACTTTGAAGTCCGAGTGCAAGCCGTATAAATAAACAAATCTGTACTGTCCAAGAAAGAGTAGAACTAGAAAGTGCTGGAGATCTGAGAAGACCCTGCAAGATGTGTCCAGATAGATCCTGTTCATAAGCTCTAGCCCTAACAATGCAGCCTGGCCAAGTCCAAGTTACAAAACTCTGCATCACCACTTTGTGACTCATTCGAATCCCCAGAAAAGGGGTCTTTGTGAATTATTGGTGATGATAGAATGGCAGATGTTTTGAGCTTATTCCGAGATACCGTACTTCAGTGAAGCGTAAGCCCATTAAGAACCCATTCAAGATGGTTTTTTTGAGTGCTTAAGGGTCGTGCAAAATCTTTAAAGGACCAATTTGAACATGGCGGTGAAAGCTAGTACAGAAGGTCAGAAGGTAATCTGTACAAGCCGAGCACCGAGCATCAGAATCTGATGTCCAGAAGAATTACAAAAATTTGTTAAAAGGCAAACTAGCCTGCAAAGCCATGATGTCTACCCCAAATGCAGCGGCGTCTTTGGTACCCTGGAACCGTGATCCTTCGATGCGAGAACCGCACTGGCAGAGAGCTGTTGATTCCTGCATTGGGCAAAACTACATATCTCTGGTCACAAAATCAAAAACCAACTACCTGCCTCTTGCTCTCATAAAACCAAAAGGCCTAGATCCAACAAAGCAATGCTCATGAGCAACCCATCCTCTTTCACCAACGCTAACTCTGCTTCTTACCCCGAAACCATGAATCTTGACAACGACCCCATGATGAGCAAGCTTCAGCAGTTTGCTGTGCCCCTGCCTGACCATCTCCGCCTTAACTCCACTGCTGCTACCTCCAGTGGAAAAGGCGTGTTTTCTGACAACTTTGTACCCAGCGAGTTCCATGTGATCTGCGGCAGGGGCAAGAAAGTATTTGAACACTGTGGCAATGTTCGCTTCCGAAACATCATCATGGGCCACCTAGATAGCTACAAGGCAGCGCCCTCCAAGGCCCAAAAGTCTGCAGTAGTGTCAACCATCTTCGACAAGCTTACCCAAGGTGAGGGCGCCTTCGTCAAGCAAGATACCAACACCGAGGGATGGTTTGTAGTGTCAGAATCTGCTGCTCGAGAGAAGATCTCGCAGTGCTTTCGAGACTGCCTTCAAGACAAGTTCAAGCTTCTCGGTGGAGCCAGCACTACAACTGTCAGTGATGCAAAGACCGCTGCCAAGCCAACCAAGCACAAGACTAAGAGGACTGTCGCCAAGAAATTGCAAGTCCTCGAACCACCCAAGAGAGCCATGTCAGCCTATCCAGTCTTCAAAAAGAGCAAGCTTGGCCGTGCCCGCACCTTCCCACTGACAATGCTCCACACAGCCCCCACCGCCCCCGCCGCAGCCTCCAATGGGGGCTCAACCAATGATGCCTTCAGCCAGTTGCTCAGTTTTTCCAAGTCTGTCATGCCAGGCCGCCGTCGCAGAGCTATTCCAGCCTCTTCCTTGACTCTTCCAGATCCCAACACTGCAGGAGTTTCCCTGAACTTCCCAACCTCCAGCAGCAACATGGGAGTTCCTCTGAACTTCCCAGTCTTCCCTGCCATGCAACAGGAAGTTCCTCCTCCACCTCCTGCCATGCCCACGAACCCCTTCCTGATGGACGACATGGAGCCTCTACCCATTCTTCACGACAATGCAGCTGCTCGTACTGCTACGTTTGAACATGCCCAACACCCAGACTTTGAGCCCCTCGCCTTCTTCCCCGATATCGAGGTGGAAGATCTCGACAGGAACACCGAAGCTGTCTAGAAAAGAAGCAGTTGCATCACACAGAATCCAATGTCAGGGAGGACAAGTGAATTCGTCTTTATCATTTTAGTTTCTTTAAGAGTTTAAACCATTGCACATTCAATCATTTCGACTCGCACTGCTGCATGCAGTAGATCACAACAGGAACACAGGAACCAACAGCCACAACAGTAGTAACAAACAGATACCACAGTAGACCACAACAGCAACTATCAGATACCACGGCGGATGGATCTTCGAACTCAGATATCAATCGCAATGGTATCCTTCTAGCAAATGCCTCTATTACCAGCACTATTATTCTATTACCAGCACTATTATTCAGCTTGCATAGTTGACCACAGCAAAAACCAACAGCCACCACAGTCAGTATGCAATAGATACGACGGAGGATGGATCTTCCAACCCAGATATCAATCGCAAAGGTACCGAGATCCTACTAGTACCTCTATCTATTGCCAGCACTGGCTCAATGCAAAAACATGTCGCACATCGCCGAAAGCAGAGTTTGCAACATCACCGAGAGCCAAGAGTAAGTTGTTGCGTAGTTGCACGGGTGCACCCTTTGCTCATGTTAATCTCCCTGCAGTTCCGTTTCATCAGAGTTTCACAAAATACATGTACCAAAGTCAACGAACGGCAGGACGCTTATGTTTTTCCTTTAGTTCATGCTCACATGCGTCGGACACTTCAAAGGCACCTAAGATTTAAAAGCAGGGAAAATCTCATTATCATAACGTGCCTTCCCAATAGATCCGCCTTTGTATCGGTACACGTTCCTCGTTCTTCGTAGCAGATAATTCAACTACTTCCGTGGCTTGTGAAGGATAAAAAGAGCCTAATGCAGCCTTTCAGAAATCCCAAAATTTTCTCTGTATCAGGCGAGGGAAGCATGATTTAGATGTGCAAATCCGGCAACTGTCGAGATAGGACCTAGGGAGCATGACCTCTTTATGTACTTTGACTATTCAGTTAGTTGAAGAGTAGATCTTGGCTCGCGAACGGCAAGTGGCAGGCAACCTGAAGAAAACCTTCTTTCCTTCTGCCCTCCCAAAAAACACGTCGAGCCAATACCGTATCGAATCTTGATATCTTGATGCCAAACAAAGCGGAGATCTTTTTGCTACCGGCACAAGTACTACAACAAAAGATCGGCCCAATAGTGGTGGATGAAGAAGGTTTTGTTGGTGGTACAAATAGCTCCTTGAAGCAGTTGTTTGGTTTCTTGGGCAAGTGCAAGTTTCCCTTCGGGCGCTTGTAGCTATGCAGTACAGCCTTGCTGATTTCGTTCATCATAGCCCCAATGCAACAAGAAAGTACCATGCTCTGGATTCTTCTCGGCTGGGCTGATGTTGAAACTCGCTACTCTTGGCTGGCTGACAACCAAAAGAAGGGATGTTCCTCAGAGGCTAATCCAGGATTTGGGCTGGGCCGACAAGAACAAGAGTCTGAGTAAATGCACAGTGGCTTGCACCTAAATGCATTTATTTCTGCATTTTCCAGCCATCAGTCAGCCCAGCAGGCAGGAGGCGCCGCCAGGTTAATGGGAACATGCTGTGGTGCTATCAGTAGCCGTTGGCAAGCATCCAGCGAAGACATGGGGAACTGGCATTCTTCCCTGGACGTGCCGTACTGGACGTGGTCCCGCCATTTGGGAAGATACCCCCTTATGAAACTCCGGTATGAATACATGTAGTAGTTTAGCAATCAATCGTACCTCCACAGTACTAGTGAAGCAAAGCAAGCAAAAGCTGAAACAGCAAGGTTCTTATACTACCCATGCTCCACAATGTAAAATGTACCGTAGGCTGCCGTTCCTTGCAAACTGGCATGCCAACTAGATTTTTGTTCTGGCTCCTAAAATCGTTTTCGAGTAACAAGTACTCCAGGTTTCTGTGGTCACCATCATCTAAAATGGTACGAGCAAACCGTACTAGTACTCTAGTATCAGACATCGCCATGCCATGTTAGCCACACTGCAATTAATTATTGAAAGGCAAGACATACATGCAGCTCAGAAGGGCGTCCAAAACGTTTCCCAGCTCTGACGGGTTGGCTTAATGCCTTGTTCTCACACCCAAACGCCGGCGGGCAGCAAAGCCACACCATGGCACCCACAGCCGAGGAGGACTGAGCCTCAGACGTTGCCACACTGGCGGAAGCAAGGCCATCACAGACATCGAAAGGCTCAGTGTGCTACCTGCTAGCTAGCTAGTATTTAATCACTGTTCTGTTATTATCCACTCCAACTACTAGAAAGGTCATACAGTACAGTACAATAGTATTCACCATGTCCAACGCGTATGCATTTGACTTTTTGCGTACCGAGCATACATTGGATGCGGAAGGTCAACCCAAGGAGGAGGATGTCCCCACCGCAGCAGCCACCACAGTCGCCACTCAAGCGTTGTTATTGAACAATGATGAAGAGCACTTGCGCATCATGGCGGCCAAAGTGGCGCATAAACCCGATTTGGAAAAGCAATTTGACGTGATTCATTTTCTACAAGCGCATCGATCGGCGGGTTGTTTGGCACCCGACGTGATTTACAAGGCCACGGGGATTGATTTGGAAGAAACCGATCAAGCCGTGGCCCAAATGCTCCAACGCAATCCCAAAATCCGAGTGGAAAATGTACCCGATCCCGAGAATCCGTCCGTCCAATTGGCCACGTATGCCTATCAGGCCAAGTACAATAATGTCCGCGATGTCAAGACGCTATTGGCACAAATCAATCGCTGCAAGAATGGTGTGCCCATGAAGGATCTGGAAGATGCCTACGAAGGTGTACAGGCCGATTTGCAAATGCTCATTACGGCTGGAGATGTACTGGCCATTGCCAATAGTGAAGACAAGGACAAAATTCTGTTTCCCAGAGGAGATGCCTTTTTGGTAGAATTGGATGGCATTGTGGCGCTCAAAGAAACCGCGGCCAACAGTGACAAGCAAGTCTACATTGTCCATACCGATGTCGATCCTTGCAAACAAATTAGAAGAGGAGAAGCCATCAATGTCGGAGGACAGTGGTTCCGAGTTTCCAGTGCCGTCAAGGAGGGAGCACTCTCGGATCAACCAGTCAGAGCACAGGCTCCCTTATCAGTCGTCAGTCTCCTAGAATTGAGCAAACGGAATGAACAAGATGGATACATTCGACCCTTTTCCAAATCACTCATTCCACTCGATGCTCCACTCAAACCATCCTCCATTTCCAGTCTAAAATCATCCAAAAATGCACGCGACAAACTACACAAACTCGCCCACAACACCAACGGAGCGCGCAGTGGCATGTCCACCGCGGCACAATTGCTTTCCAGCAATGCTCATGCGTCCAACCCTACAGTACTGGCACAATCCTTTGCCATGGCTGCCACCGCCACAAATGCCGCCACTCCTGGATCGCACGTGCGCAAACGACCCACCAACAATACTCATAGTAAATCCATGAATGGTGCCAACGACTTTGATGGGAATAATACCGTCGATAACAAATCCAAGCGACGACAAGCCGTGGAAGCACAACAAGCGGCGGCATCGGATCCGGCACTCTCCTTGTATTCCCACGCCCGCCGTCACGGATGTACCAAGGATGTGCGAGACATGTACTTGGCCATGAAGAATATTCCCGAAAGTGATGCTGAATTGCAGGCACTGCTGGTCAAACATCAATTGCTGGAACCGGGAGAACAAATGAGACGACCGCGACTGGCCAAACGAGCCAATGTGGACAATGATGGAAAACCCAAAAAGAGACGTTATTATGAACGCAAGAATCAACGCATGACCAATACGCATTTGGAAGGAACCGAAATTGGAGCTGTCTTGCGCCGTGCACAGGAATTGCAACAGCAAGGCAAGTCGGTGGGTGATGGTGGAATGTAATAAGAGTTCGTAGCTAGCTAGGTCTTGCCGGGTAGTCTGATACTGGCTACCGCTACCGTGCTTAGGCAAATTATGTAATTAGAAAAAGAGACAGATTTCCTGTTTCATAGAGGCTGTGTGACAATCAGGGGCGGCGCTTATTAGTGCATGAGCGAAGCAAGATGGCTCAGACCCAATCAATGGCCAAGGGACAGAACTAGTCTAATAATAATCAATCAGAGTCCGACCCCGAAGAGTCAGAGCCCTTCTCTGCACCATCATCATGGCTCTTCAGCAGTTCATCCAACTAAATGGTGGACCTCTTTATTCAAGACTACCGTAGCTAGTCAACCGCGTCCCATTGCATTTCATGTGACAAAAGGCAAGCTCTCCAAAACTCTTTGGAGTTTGTTTGATGAAAAAGTTATTCAGCTCTGACGGTTTGTGAAGCCACGTCACTAAAAGAATTCTGGTTCTTCCTCGCGATCGCATCCACCATCCCACCATGGCGTGGACAGCCAACATACATGTACAAACTACAGACAGTATCCGTAACGGTAGCCAAGCTTGGCATCCAGCATGCAGCTGAAGATAATGAAGAGCCACGACGAGATGATGAGCACTGATGATGAGGACAACGCCTCTCGCAACTTGAGGCATTTGCGAGTGGGACCCAAGATTTTGAATTCCTTGCAACAAGAAACAAGTCTCCAACACTTGTGGCTGGGCCCGACGTTTTCTTCCTCGGTGACTCTGGACAAAATTGCCGAGATTCTTTCACAATCGCAGCTGCGCTCCCTGGATTTGGATTTGTCCCTGATGGCGGCAAGTTCCACGACGACGAGTTGTAATGGGAGTCGTCGCTCCAACAAGGCCACACTTGAGACAAATGATTGGACCTGTGCCATGGAGTGCTTTGTGGCACAACTGTCGTCGGTGGAAAAGTTGTGCCTGCGTCTTCCCACGCGACAAGAAGGAGTGGTATTGGCGTGTATCCAAGGACTCGCCACGGGCTTGACTTGTAGTAATGCTGGAGTGAAGACACTGGATTTGAGGTCCAACAGAATGGACGACCAGGCCGCCATGGTCCTGGCCGCGGCATTGCCCCAAATGACGAGCGTGCGACACTTGATCCTGACGTGGAACAGGATTGGAAGTGTTGGTGCCGAGGCGTTGGCCAAGGCACTCAATCATTCTCGATTGGAGCGGTTGGATCTCAGTCACAATCCAGCCTTGGATGACACGGCGGCAGTGGCATTGAGCCGGGCATTGCAAACCAACACGCGATTGCAAGTGTTGAATTTGTCGGGTTGTACGGGGATTACCGTCCAGGGGGGTTTGGCAAAGTTGGTGGAGTGTCTCGGTAGCACCAAACACAACAACATCAACCACAATAATGTGACACTAGAACATATCTACTGGAAGAACCAACGGCCCACAAGGCATGATCCCAGGATGGCTGCTGCTGCAGAGAGTACCGCTACTGCTACCAGAACCAACCAAAACACAGACGACAAAGACATACTGCAAGCAATGGAGTATTACCTGTCATTGAACAGGGCGGGAAGACGACTGTTGATCCATTCGAAAATTGGCCAAGAAAAAGTGTCAATCGCCGTGTGGCCACATGTCTTGGCCAAGACGGCGTCTGTCAATAAATCATCCTTGATCGGGCGTCCTGCCACGGGACCTCATGAACTTTTTTATCTCTTGCGCCAGAATCCGGGACTGTTTGAACACACGCAACAACAAAAAACGCTCTTCATCGTGAACGACTGATTACCTGGTGGCTGTTCAAACTACTTCTTTCAGATGATTCATCATTCGCACTGTCTGTCGGCGCAGTGCAGTCTCCAACACGGAAAATGTTGATAGCGTTGCAGACGCTTACTTTGAAACGCATCAAACAAACAGCCCTGATTGATTCCTTCGAAATAGCTTTGGAAGGAGATGGATCTCCGTGCGGCAACACTTATTCTTGCCAGACAGAGAGACGTCACGCGCCAATCCACTCTTCGAGCGGCTGTAAGTCTACCCAGTTTGTACTGCACTGTGGGAACGAATCAAGTCACAGGTTGGCATCACTACTGAAGCTACCGCTAGTTGCCTTGTAGTGGCCACGATAAACGCAAGGTGACCCACTACCATAACGCGTGCAGTGTTATGGCTGGGCCTACATTACCGTGAAGCCCCTATATCCGGCACCTCAAACTGGGAGTACGGTACCAGAAGCCAGGAAGCTACTGGCACAGCACAGCTTCCTCGTGCTACCGTACCGATGCAGTTGCAGGCGCCCAGCTGAAGCAGCTCCAGCTGTGACTCCTCTGTCGGTGCTGACAGTCCCCGCACTCCCTTCCGCCCTTCTCAGTCTAACGGGTACGGTATACAAATAAAACTGGAAGAAGAGCACTATTTTACAATTACGTCCATGTTCTCATTGCTGCGCCTCCACTCTAGCAGTAGGATTGCTGTTCTTGCCTCCTTCGCGGTTTTGGTTTCTTCTTTTCACATAATGATATACATAGACCAAACTTTGAGGCGTGACTCCACTTATTTGTGAAGCCTCGGCAAAAGTACCGGGTCGTACTCGGTTCAGTTTCTCAATCTCCTCTTTCTTCAGGGTCGGGAGTGTTTCTGTGCTGTAAACAATGTCAGGAGGGATTCTGGATCCTTGTGCTCTTCTCCAGCTCTCCATATCTCGGTGCTGTCTCCTGACAAACACTTGATACTTGACTGATGCTTCCACAGTGTCGTACACCGAAACTGGTGAGGGATCCATCACTTCAACCGGTTCTTCCTTCTTGAATAAAAAGTCGTCCTCGGCAACTTCACTAGAATCCTTTGCCCTGGCGTCTTGCTCTGCCTTTTGCTCTTTCTGAACCTCAATCATAATGTCTTCTACACGATCCAAAGTTGTGTGTGGCATGGCCAGAACTTCTTCTGCTGTCTTCTTCTGTCCTTTCTTGCGCTCTACCTGATCTCCTCCAAAAACTGCCCCTCCACGATTCGCCCAATCAATCACCTTCATATCAAAGTGACGAAGCTTTTGAACCCGATCCTCAATGAGCGACTCTCGTGCTTCCATTGCTACAATGCGTTCTTCGTCATGGACGAGACCTGCGTTCATGCCCTTTCGGGTCAAGCGCAAATCGGCATTGTCGGCTCGAAGGCTGATCCTATATTCCGCTCTCGAAGTGAACATGCGGTATGGCTCTGACGTTCCTCGTGTCACTAGATCATCAATCAAGACACCGATATACCCTTCATCCCGTCCAATGATAAAGGGAAGAGGAGGTCCTTCGCCCTGAGCCGCCGCCTTGGCCACTTGTCCCGCATTGGCTCCTGCCACAATGCCTTGTGCGGCTGCTTCTTCGTATCCGGTTGTTCCACAGATTTGTCCGGCAAGATACAGCCCTGCAATGGCTTTGGTTTCCAAAGTATGCGTCAGGGATTGCGGATTGACAAAGTCATATTCGACATCATAACCAGGGCGGACAATCTCAACTGCTCCAAGTCCCTTCATGGACCTCATAATCTTCAGCTGAATTTCGGGTGGAAATGGACCACTCATGCCATTGGGGTAGACAATATTGGATTCGAATCCCTCTGGTTCTAGAAAGCAGTTGTGTGAATTGCGTTCTGGGAAGCGTTGTACCTTTTTGTAAATGGAAGGACAATACCTCGGTCCATTGCCAGCACCATCCATTCCATCGTAGTGGGGCAACGTATCTTCGTATTTCATTACGAGCTCGTGTGTCTGATCATTGGTGGCTGTTTGAGCACATGTGATGATTTGGTTGGCGGCCATACGAGGTGGTTGCTCACCCCGAAATTGCAGAATGTGGCTAAAGGGTGATGCTGGAATTTCCGAGGGTTGCTTGGGACAGATATCCCAATCAATGGTGGATCCATCGAGCCGTGGCGGAGTCCCAGTCTTGAGTCGTCCTAGTGGGAACTGAAATCGAGCCAAGGTTTTTGCCAATCCAACGGATGGTGGTTCGACCTGTTCCGAATCGCGAAGATGCCTGCCTCCACTGTATCGATCGTGTCCCATCAACAAGACCCCTCGCAAGAAAGTGCCCGTGGTGATAATGACAGTGCGACTCATGACGTCTCGTGTAGTTCCATCTTCTGTTTCAATTTGTACTCCACGAATTCGGGCCTTTCGGTCTTCCACTGCTATAATGGCCAACTTTCGAAGGTTATCTTCATTTTCTGATGACTTTCCCAGCAGTCCATTTTTGTTGTTGTTGTCACCACTACTCATGGGTGCCAATGACTCTATCACGGATGGTGATGTTTTGGATTCATCCAACAGCAAATCCTGTACCGATCCCTGCAAACAGGTCAAATTGGGATACTCCCCCGAAACCAATCGTTGTTGCATACTCTCCTTGTACCAATCTCGATCCATTTGTGCTCTCGGTCCTCGTACGGCAGGTCCCTTGCGACGATTCAAGACACGATAATGGATCCCTGCATCATCGGCCACGGTACCAATCAATCCACCCAAGGCATCTACTTCCCGTACCAAATGGCCTTTTCCAATGCCACCAATGGAAGGATTGCAAGATAATTCCCCCACTGTGTCTAAACGTTGTGTGATCAGTGCCGTCTTGGCACCTGTACGGGCCGCAGCGGCAGCAGCCTCGCAGCCGGCATGGCCACCTCCAACAACAATTACATCATAGTGGTCATCATAGCCTCCTTGATTGTTGTTGGAATGAAGAGCGGAAAAGGAGCGAGCCAATGGTTGAAATCTTGGAGCCGCCAAAATAGGATTGTTCTTCTTGGTGACTGTTCGTGAGGCAGCTTTTGCCAGGGGAGCACGCAACATAAAGCTCCAGCAAGGGGACATGGCTGCAAACACCAATATGCCAAGAAAGGTCCACCTCTTAGGAACACAGCAGACCCAAGACACAGAAGGAGAAAGTGGTTTCAACGCCATCAACTATCTATAAGACTTCCAGGTGCAAGTTGTTGTTGTGACAAAGACAAGGATTGATCAATGAAGCTTGTCAAGTGTCAACTCTACAAGAAATCCAGACAACTTGGTTCATTGGGTGGATCTTACAAAATCGACTAGGGTTAGAGATCGATATCGGTACGACCGTCGCCGCGCCGGGCCCTTGCTTTTAAGAAGTCAACGCAAACTGGACTTTTTACCACACTTCGCTGATTGTGCATCTCTGGTCTTATCGTACCGTACAGTACCGGCATGCTGACTGTCTGTTTTGATCTGGCAGAGCAATGCGCTGTACAGACGTATCCGAAGTTCCTAGCTAGCTAGCGGTATCCTCCAAAATTCTATGCCTCTCGCGGGAAGGGTAGCAAGGGTTGTAGCGTGTGAACAATCCTTTGTGAAAGAAACACGCTATGTTATAGTTGCGCAAAACACTGATCAATTCCAATCAACAGTCCCCCTACAAATGCTGAAATTGGCCTTCTAGCTAGCTAGCTGGCTAGGCAATGGATGGCATTTCTGTCGCATCGGGTGTTGTGGATGGTTGATAGCTGAATCTATCAAACCACATGAGTCCTCCCGCCAAGACCAAACTCCCCACCACTCCAAAGACATACGCCAACTGCCACCCAGTTCCCTCTAATTTCGCACCGAGCAATATCGTGACAAATGTCAACAAGAGAATCAAATATCCCATGCCCTTGTGCTGGAGTTCCCACCACCAGCGAGAACCACTACCACTATTTGTCGTAGAATCGTCAGACTTGCCCGGTCGGAACAACAGAGCCAACAATGGCTGTAGCAGGACCAGTGCAAACACGGTGGCACCAAGACACCCATGCTGAAAGCTGGTGGTGCCGGAGCCGTCGGCAAAAACGTTAAAGTTGCGAACGGCAATGGCAAAGCCACCAATGCCAAAGATCAATCCGGCGACTTGAAATCCACGATGAAGACGGAACCAGAGGTCACCTGGACGATGCTTCATCAGACGTGCCGACAGGACGCCCATGGGTAAGAGCCAGCCAAAGGAAAACATCATGATGAGACCGTGGATCATTCCAGTTGTCAACGCCATGGTTTCTTCGTGGACTGCGACAAAAAGAGGAAGACTAGCCAGTGGTGGTTGATGACAACAGAAGTAATCTTTGTCGTTTTCCTGATGCTTAATAAATAAACCTAATCTCTTCAAGTTACGGTAGTGTGTTGCCTCGTATATGACGCTGCCAAATCAATTCGAAGCTTGGCCCCAGCGTGTTGGCTCGCAGTTCTGTGGGAGTAGGCAGGCTATGTTCAGGCAGCAGCAATATGATGAATGGAATGAAAGGGATACGACAACAGGAACAAAAGTACTAGTACATGTATTATGAACTACTCAGTATCTTGGCTGCTTTCTAATACTTGTACTAGCTATTGTGCAGGCACACAACTTGACGTGCCGCATGGTGCTGGTACCAGTACGGAGGACAAGACAGAGCCTTTCACCCATACCGTATTTCAGGCATGCCCACCATATTTCAGGCATGCCGATTCTCAAGAATCGGCATTTTGGATGGCCCGATTCTTAACGCCAATTAGATTCCACCCGAAATAAGGCTCCACGTAGGTCAAATGTGGCCATGGCTTATTTTTTAACATGGGTCAAAGTGACCCACGCAAGTAGCTTCAGGTAGGTCACACTGGGGTTATTTTGACCCGAATTAATCTCGGGCCATGGCGCCATCACTCCCTCCAACAGCCGCAGGTCTGGTCATTCGACATCCAATGAGGCACTCCCTGCTTGTCGCAACAGAAAGGAAGAAGATACAAAGAAGACTACAATCAAGCAATGCGATGCTTTCATTATCTGCACTATGACCAGTCGCAACAACAAGGAGAACGACGGAGGCATCAATTGGGCGGCGATCATGCAGTCTGATTGGGACCATGATATCAAGTTGATCGAACAGTTTCAGAATGATGCTGTCGTTCCTGATGTCGCACTCTCGCAGAAGCATGCAGTGGCCGTGAAGAAAGAGGAAGAAGAAGAAAGCGAGGAGGAATTTGAGTTTGGCGAAAAGGAACCAGCTGTTCAGGGTGGTAAGAAGCCACAGACACCGAGTGACCATGGATTCAAAGTTGTTCGATTGACTGACCTTGTTCCTGACGGATTCCCCGTGTATCCTAATGGCTCTCCCATATTTCCTCGTGGCGATGACTCTCCCGTGTATCCGAACGGCCCTGACTACAAACAATTCAATGAATATGCTGCTGCTGATCCCAAAATTCGTCGTACCAACTCTCCACACAAACCAAAAGCTTTGGACTACAAGAAAGAAAAACCGGAGCCCCTTCAGTCCAGGACATGTGGTTATTGCTACCAGGCACCTTGTTTCATGATTCAGGATATGGTTGGTAATTCACTCATGATGACCGGAGATATGATGAAAGACGAAGGATACACCAACAATGACATTCGCAAGGCTCTTTACAAGGAAGCGTCTTGCATGATTCATGGCAGGCTTGGTCCAGGCAAGAGAATCAAGCTTCCTGTCTGTGTCGAAGGTGAGATCAAGGATTGCTACCCTCGCAACAAGACCGATCCAGAATACGTTGGATTCAAAGCGAATTAGACGGTCGTGCAATTTGAGCGAGTGATTAGTAAATCGCCCAAGAGATCAACGGATTATCATCTGAGAAGTGTTCATCGCCAAGAAGTAGTAATAAGCCATAGTGAAAGTGATCATGTCTGTGCCGAATAACGTTTGATTCTAGTATTTTAGGAACTAATCATAAAGATTTTCGTCGCTGCTATCGCACAACCTAGACCTAGCAGCATCGTTCACCTGTGCTTTGTCATTATCCTTGTCTGCTTCTTCATTATCTGCTGAATCATCTGTAAGGTTGTCATCTCCCTGGTCATCTTGTCGCTTGCGCTTTCCAGAATGTTTCCGAGTTTCCACTTCCGACTTGCCGTAAAGCTTCCTGAGCGACCTCCAAACTGGAGCTTTCCTGCAGGTTGATCGAGGTCCCTTGGTGTGGTTCGCATCCCGTATTGGCCACAAGGCAAGCCCATCCGGATGATGCGCTATCTCAAAACAAGTCATGTTCTGGAACTGTTTTAGTTTGTGGATATGCCGGTCGGATTCTGTGACAATGTGATTGTGGGCAAAGACACCACAAACAGAGCAGACGCTTAGGCCTGACCTGATGCCACTCGCTCCCAGAGTTGGGTCAAAATACTTCCCACTCTCAAGTCGACAAACAATACATCGCTGTCTCGATGAAGCTTTCTTTGGCTGGAGAGGCAGGTGGCCTTTCATTGGATCTTCTTGGGTTTGCTTTGTTGCTGTTATTGCTTCTGGCTCGTCGTATTCGAGGAGGGACTCTGCAACAAACAACATGAATTCGTGCCTTTTCAGCTCATTCCTATTCCTTGACGCCTTTTCTTGTGCAGACAGATTCCAAGCAATTTGGGCATTCATCAGCATCACGTCTAGAATGGCAAGGAACACTCGCTTATACCATTTTTTGAAGTGAGCTTTTGTGGAAAAGCCTCCGAAATGAGCTCTCATCTCATCCCCTTTGTCAACACCGAACATTGTCTTCTGATACCCAATCATGGCTGATGGACAATCCAGCTGTCTTGCTATTGGTCCAACCTGCCGCTTCACTGTACCCACCGTAGTGTCATTCTTACTGGATACCATTGTGACGACTTTGCTGTCTACCCACTGCATCATAAGTAATCGATTGACCTTGTCGGCCACTATCCTGTATTCTCCACGAGCGTCTTTGCTCTTGTCCAAGTCCAGCAGGTCTCCAGGGAAGCCTTTCCTTCTACGACGGCAGGTTCCTGTACTGTAACACCCGCACTTTGTCAATAACAGAACAGCCAATTCGGGGCACATGTACCGGTTGTCCATCGCTATATGTCTCGCGCCTTGACCATCATCGCCAAATGTGGACATAACAGCATTCATGACGGCCTTCTGTGTTGTTGGTAAGTCATGGATGCTTTCGTCGATACTAATGTTCTTCGCATTTCTTCCTTGGTAAACGTCCATGTGAAGGATTGCGTAAGTGCTCGAACATGCAAGGATAAAGAAATCCACTCTGAACTTATTGGGTTTGTCCTTGTTGTACTGTCTCACAGGGCAGAAGCGAGAACGACATGCCACACCACCTTCATCGAAAGCGCAGTGCGATCCTGCTTCAAAGACAGATTTGGAAGCAGAATTCGTTGAGTTTATTGCCCTCCTTAGCTGGTAGCATTTGTCGCTCGTCCCAGCAGCCATGTCTTTGTCTTCAGGGTGGAAAGCTGCTCTAATTTGCTTGAAGCGAGTAAGAGACATGTACTCATGGGCCCAACCAGCGCTGTTCTTTATTGGCATAGGGTCAATGCGGTTGCAATAATTGATTGTTTCACACTCTTTTCGGAAGTAAGCCCTGTACCCACCACCATCTGTCGGTGACATCGAAATCTTTAACAAGATGCCTAGAAACACGAACATCTCTTTCACGCTTATGTCCTTCCACTTGCCACCACACAGTTTCTTCTTCCTTTCTTTGTCTAGAAGATGGTTGTTCGCGTAGTTATTGGATTCTCTTGTCAGGGCAGTGACAAACTCCCAACTGCATCCAAGACGTTGGAAGCATTCGAAGGGATCTTTCCATTTATCACCCACTCCTGGCTTCAACTGCATCTTTGCATCCTTTCCCCTTCGCATGTGGCTTTTCTCTACGAATGGGACATCACCAGGTTTCACTGACTCAAATTTCCATTGAAGCTTTTGTGCCAGTTTACCATAGGTATCTTCTTTGGCAACTGTTGTTCCGTCTGTGGCTTGAATTTCGAAAATGTCATCATCCGTGTCATATTCAGCAAACTGTGTGAGATTGAAAGCATCGTCGTATTGATCCAGATCCTCTCCATCCTCAGAGTCCGATTCATATCCATCAACATCATCTCCTCTTGTAATGCGTCTACCGCCATGTCTTTGTCTTCCTTCACTGCTAGTCCCTCTTCCTGTTGAGCACGCTGTTTTTAGGCTAGCATACGCTTGCGCACGTTCTTCGTCTGTGGGTCCTCCACTGCCACCACTGCCTTTGGCCGTTGTTTCATTGGTTGTTGGGGTTTCCCCATTATTTGATGCCCTTCCTGTTGAAGTATCAGCTTGACTCTGGTCCGCGGGAGTTCCTTCAAGACCGGCTGATAGCTGCTTCTGTTCCTCTTCGTAGGCCAAAATGAGACCTTTCAGCTTGGCACGGAAGGCAGCGGTGAAGTCTACATATGACTTGGTCCATTCCACATTCATAAGAGTGCCCAATGTTACCCATCGAAAGCCATACTTCCTGCCATTCTTGGTGGTGGGGCATTGAATGACTTTTCCGACAAGCTCAAGGTCATTTTGAGGGTATCTTTGCAGATACGAATTGCTATACGTCTGGTCAAGGAACACCTCGCTGTTGCACTTGAAGTGGCGGCCAGCGTATGAGAATGTCTGCCTCTTCTTCCTTTGGTTGCTTTTGGTTGCTGTTGCCGTGGTGATGGTGTCTTGGGTTTCTTGTGTTTCGGTCTCTTGCGGGACCACTTTCTCGTTGTTATTCTCCTCTTCTGAGGGCATCGAAGCTTGGGTTGCGCCACCTGTAATGAGTTGTGATAGGTCTAGAGTCTCCCTAACTATACTAAGACCAGTTTCCTCACCTTCCGGTCCACTTTGGCCATCTAGGAGAGGCATAGGTTGGTCCTCCATGGTGGGTGTTCAGATTGATCCTGCAACAAGATGAGTTTCGGCTACCTTCTACCTGCTGTAGCTCGTTCCTGGCTGGAGATAGCCCATAGTGACCCATATATACGGAGAAGCAGCTTTCAGCGCTCTTTCGAATGGTTCTATCTAGAATGGCTGTAGTTAGAGTTTAGAGGTGGGTATGGTTTAACAAAGTCCGTATAGGTCATATACGACCTACGTGGGTAGGTATAGGTCATATATGACCTACGCCTCCGATTGGCGTTAAGAATCCTCTTTCCCCAGATTCCTCGCACCAGATCTCAAGATCCCTCTTTCGCAAGACTGCAAGACTGCAAAACGGCAAAACTGCTTGGTCACTGCAAACCTTCGAGGAACAAAAAGCTGTCTTCTCTAGCTAGTAGTATCCCAACCCCCACACGCGAGTTGACGGGGATTTAGAGTAGGGAAATTATCGAGTTGACGGGGATTTAGAGTAGGGAAATTATCTACGGAAGCCAGCCGGTAGTCTACTACTACAGTAGTTTCATTACAAAGAGTCATACGAATGTTACTCTGGTAATATTACTCTCAGAGCCCCTATGTACCCAGTCACGGTACCCCAATCCCTTATATCTGTTCAGTGCCAGTTACTGCTTCTCTAGAAAGAAGCATACCCAAACTACATAAGAAATCATCAATTCGTGAAAGAGAAGAACAAGCCCAAATAACACTGAAGGTCACTTTTGCTCCCGAGCAATGTTACAAATCAGTACAGATAATCTCTATAGTGCCTAAATACCAAACCAGCAATGTTACTCCTCTATGTCTGGGGCTTTTTCTCCTCTTGACCGTTGTTTCTTACTCAAGGGATCCGAGAGGACTTGCTTCCACGATTTCGCCATTATTTCCTGTCGATTGTCAAGACGATTGTCATTTCTTGACCATGGCGACGGCTACAGAGGATGTTGGATGGGTCTATCCCTACAACAAGAAGCACCAGACCACAATGGTGGGCTTTATGAGTTGGTGGCATGAGAAAGTCTTCCCCAAAACCCAGGAGTTTACCAAGGAGGAGTTGTTGTCGATCATTCCCTCCAACGTGAAGGCGTATTTGGAATTTCGTGCCTATGGCAAAGTCAACCCTGGCGAAGAGGACTTCCCGGTCTACATGCGAGCCGGCTCTGTAGAAAAACTCAAGCAGAGCATCTCCTGGTACATGCCCAACAAACATGTCCCATGGATGGATGGTCGTGGAGGAAATCCAGCAAGACATGTCTCACTCAATGAAGTTATCAAGAAGATTGAGCGGCATGAGGCAAGAGATGAGGGCAAGGAGGCCAATGACAAGCGGCCCTACAACAACAACGAATTCTACAAAATTCTGGAAATGCTCCGCCGGAAGGAAGACTTTGACCACAAGTACAAGTATCCCATGATGTCATTGTGGAGCTACCACTTGATCCATCGACTTGACGACACATGCCACTTCGAGGTGGAGCATCCTCATGGGTCTGTGGAGTACCCCTTTGCTATTTTCACCAAAACACGCTACTCTAAGAATGTCCGGAGCATTCGAGATTGTCCTGACCAAATTCTTCTTGGAGCCGATGAGTGGAAGATGTGTCCCCAGCTCAATTTGGCAATCTACTTGGATAAGTGGCTGGAGATGCATCCCAACGCTGTGCACATGTTTACCAACAACGACGACACAAAGAAGGGACCTAACAATTTGAAACAGCAGTATGGCAATCGCCTCAAAACTGTCGTTTGGGACCAAGCCGAATTCAAAGCACTCGAAGAGCAGGTGGGCCGTGACAACAAGAAGGGAGTCGGCACTCATAGCATGAGGAAATATGCGGCGACGAAGCCTTCCAAGAAGGGAGCCACACCGCGGCACATCGAGTATCGTGGAAGATGGGTTGGCGACAAGTCGGGCCGTGTTGTTTCTGTTCGGTACATTGACAAGAGAGATGACTATGTGGATGCGTTTGTGGCTAGCTTGTTATGTGATGGAGGTCCCATCATGTACCAAACGGACATGAATGTCACTGATGAATGGCTCAAGTCCCATGTTGTTAGCCACATCGCTCGCCGAATCCAAGATAACAGGCTGTTGCGCATCCTTGGATTGGCCAAGCTTTGGGCGTGCTATGATCCAGAGGCTAAGTCGCTGGTTGACCAAGAGGAACGCGAGTACATCATCTCTATGTTTGCCTCTCGCTATGGACAACAGCAGACGAATCCAGTCAAGAAGGTGGCATTGGAGATCTACAACGTGAACGGAGACTTGGATATTCGCCCTGCAGGGCCTTCGACGCCACCACCCAATTGAGGAACAGCGACCGGAGCACCAACCGGAGCACCAAGGGGAGTTCCAATGACCACAGGAGGCCCAACGAACGATCAGCTCATCACCTACATGAAGAGCGTGGAACAGAACATGATGCAACAGTTCCTTCAGCAACAAGCCAGAGATGAGGCTCAGCGTGCTTGGTTGACTATACAAGTTAACAAGCTACTGAACAACCAGAGGCGATGGGGAGCCCAACTACCACACGCATTCAGTCGACAGGATCCAAGGCAACAGCAAGAAAGACACAACGATTCAGTTAGGAGGGCCGAACAACGTCAACAAGGAGAAATCATTTTCCACGATGACCGACTACTGGTTGGAGATGATCCGAATGCGAGGCTTTGCGACAGGCCTCGCTCATTGCATGAGTTGTGGAAAGAGTGGACTGTTGGCATTGGCGACAACAAACCTGCTAGTCAGTTCACTACAGCTGAGAAGAACGACAAAAAGCTGAAGATCAAACAGAAGTATTGGAGACGCAGAAGAGTTTGGCGTCTACAGGGCTACCTGATTACCCAGTGCAAGTTTACTTGTCATGAGGCGAACAGCATGATCCTACAGTGCTACAACAATGGCACAGTCACCCAGTGCATCAACGGCATCATCAAGGACAGTCGCAACAAGGAATTCCCTGTCATCGGCAAAACAGAGTACAACAAGGACTTTCATGCCAATCCCCGTCTTGTTCCAAGCGAAAGCCTCTTCCGTCGATGGGGATCTGCTAACCAGTAGAGGCCCTCCCCGCTCCCTGGAACATGGAAGAGTTAGAGACCAAGAAGAAAGATGGGATGCCAAGAGCCACACGGGTAAGTGTTTCGCCTATTCTTTGTCTTTGCTGCAGAGGCAAGGGCTGGTTTCTTTTTTCTTCTGCAGGGAATACAGTACTGTACCATCGACTCCAGCAGTGTCAGATGTTCCAAACTTGAGTCGATCGATCGTCCAATTCAAAGTGGTATCGGTTCCATGGACCATGGCAGGAAACTTTGCTCAAGCAAGGCCTGTAGAATCTCATCCAACAAACTTAGCATGACATAGGTCATACACGAGGTGGTAAAATCTTGGGCTTGATCAATCAAAATGTCAATCCCCGACTTGCGTTTGTAGCTAGCACGGCATTCTTCCACTGTTGAGACTAGAGGAGGCTCTCCAAAGCTGTAGGTAGCACCATTCCACTGGACATTTGAGTATTTCACAGTCGTGGTGGCCGGATCATTGGTCAAGCTGGATGCGTCAATGTCGACGAAACTCGGGAAGGACACTGGACCACTGGCAAAGGCGGGGACCGGAACGATGTTGTCGGAAGTCGATGGCTTTGCTGGAGCAAAAGATGCAAGAGCTCGGCGCTGTGATTGTACATGCTGATAAGCTGTCACCAAGCTGGTGATGGGATCAGCGGTCGCAGGATCGATTGTCGTGGAATCTGCCGAGGGCTCAACTTTTAGATCTACTTGTTAAACGTGACGGCTGCGTGTTGTTTCAACGCGACGGCTGCGTGTTGTTTCAACGCGGCGCTAGAGAAGTCGTCTACGGTATCTAATCTAGAGTACCAGCAGACAGATGATGTGCTCATAAAATAATACTCAGTTGTCATTCAAATAGCAAGTTGAGGAGAGATGTAGCATGGGAGCACCTAGAATAATAATCAGTTGCCATTCAAATAGCAAGGCAAGGAGAGATGTGGCATGGAAACATCTCTAGCTAGCTGCACTTCAGCCCACTCGGACAAGGTTTATTGGCAATGAATGTTTCGTTCCATGTCATCGATCTTTTACTCGTCCCAGATTTCAAGTCGTTTGGTGACAAGTCGCTCAGCGAAGGCTTCGGTAAAGGGGAAATCGCCCCCCTACCGACCACTCCATTTGATGCCAGCGAGATTGTCGCCGCCTTTCGCTATATGAGCCAGGGACGGCACATTGGAAAGATCGTGATCCAGAACCTCCACCAGTTCCAAGTCTGCCATTTGCCGTTGACACTTTGGAAGGAAAGCCACCTCATTACGGGCGGATTGGGTGGTCTTGGAATGGCACTGGCATTTCGTCTTGCGTGCCATGGGAGTAGGAAATATCTGTTGGTCGGTCGCAGGGGTGTCACCAATTCAGTCCAACGATTCACAATTTCGCAGATGGAGGCTTTGGGATGCCAAGTACATGTTCTACAAGCCAATGTGGTAGACCTAACCCCCAACATGTGCACATTTCAGCCTGATCGGATTTGGCACGTGGCCACTGTATACCGTGATGTGACATTCTCCAAGATGACTGATGATCATTGGGATGATGTTGTCCGAACCAAGGTTGAGGGCTACCACCACATGCGCCAATGTTGGCCCGTTACTTCTTTGGTCAACATCAGTTCTGTCAGTGGCTACTTTGGAAATGTGGGGCAAACCAATTACGCATTTGCCAATTCAAGCTTGGATGCTGCAGCTCGTCGCGATCCGAATACGCTGACGGTGCGCTTGGGCACTTTGGACAACGTTGGCTACGTCGTTGAGAATGAGAGCAATCACCGTGTGCTGGAACAATACATTCTAACTGCACTTATGGTGAAGTGAGTGAGTGAGTGAGAGTGAGTTTCTGTCGTTTCTGAAGCTCAGAAATTGGAAAACCATGCTTTGGGTTGACATCAGCGACTTGCTGAGACATCCAACAGCTAAGAGAAGAAGAATATTCACCTCCAGACGTTCCAAACCACGGTGACACTTGTTGCAGCACCATTCGCCAACAAAGGGGTGTCCCTTCATCTCAGCACCAAACATGACAGGCGTGACATCATCATCTGCATTCGGACAAGGCTTGGCCGCCACACCGGGAGCAGCAGGAGTATCAGGGCAGGACCAGTCCTCTTCCATCGGTGAATGAGAGTTTATCCCATGTGCAGTCAGTATCTTTCCAAACTTGGCTTTCCCAAGAAATTCACGCAAGTAGACTCCTTCGGCATATCCAATCTTGAGGTCCTTGGAAACACCCAAGACATTTGGAGGGGCTCCAAGAAAGAACCCATTGGGCATTGCCATGATTCTGGCTTGGCGAAGGTTGTTGTTGTCATTCTCATCCTTCCCAGCATCATTTCCAAACGCCAGCCCCATGAGGAATGATCGCATCAAGGAACCGAGTTCCTCTTCATGTTCCGCAGAAAGATTTCCGCTCTGAACCAGCAGGCTGGTACCAGCTAGCTGCGCCTTGACACTTCGCTTGCGTGTCAGCACTTTCGTTTCCTCTGACATAGAACGAAAGTAAGAGGACACAACCATGATGCGATGCATGCTTGGTCTTTGCTTGCATGATACTCAGAGCACGTGGATCATCGGACAACAAGTCACTTTCCGACCTGAGATTGAGGTTGTCTGCTAGCCACTCTGACTCGTAGGCTTCAGGCGCCAAGAGGGAACAGCGCTCCTTCCAATGACATAGTTGGTTGGCATCTCTTGTAGCCAACGTGCAAGGAGAGGCCGCACAAAAGTTGCCAGTTCCTCTTGAGTTGGGTTGACGTAGGAATTGTAGTTGTCGTATCGAATAGCATCCAAAGCATTGCAAATCCGCTCCTTGGTCATGTCATCCATCTCTTCATCGTCACTGTCACAATCTTCCAGAATTGCATTGAGTTTGTTGAGTAATGGCTCCAAATCTCGCTGGACACGTGGACAATAAGGAATCACATCCTGAATCACCCCAAGCTTTGGGCCAAAGACTGCTCCCCAGCGTTGGAACTTCACACATTCTCCGTCTGGCAATTTGCGAAGCAGTCGCCCTCGCCGTATAGCAAACATCCAGCTTCTCAATGTTGGCCAAGTGGTAATAAATGGAATCCCACCATTGGGAATATGAGCCATGCTGTCAAGGATACGACGGTCAAAAGTTGGCGGGGCTATCCGTGCTTTCTCTTGCTTGGTGGGTAGTTGCATCAATCGTTCACGGACGGTTCCAGTACAAGTGACGTCCACAAGCATGAAGAGTCTCACAGAGCTGTAGAGCAATCAAGTGAACAACGGACAAGCGACGATCATTGTGCACAAACAGACCGGGCAATCCAAGATCCACAATTCGTTGAATGGTTTTTGGTGGCACTGCAGCAAGGCATCGTTCCAAATCCATCACCAAGGCAGCTACAGGCGCATTCTGCTTCATGGCCTGGTCATGACATCCTACCAGTGACATGCCAATCTTTGTCTTCATGGCAGAGACAACGGTTGGCTTCTTCTTCTTTGTGTAGGCAACACCGTAGACTCCAGCAGTGTCAGAAGTTCCAGACTTGAGTCGAGCAATCTTCCACGTCAAGGCTGGATCTGTTTCATTTTGCATGGCAATGAACTTGCGCTCAAGAAAGCTTTGAAGAATCTCGTCTAGCGACCGTAGCATGACATAGGTGGAGAAATCTTGTACTTGATTCAGCAGCTTATCGATCCCTGACTTGCGTTTGTAGCTTGCAAGACATTCTTCGACTGATGAGACTAGAGGAGGCTCTCCAAAGCTGTAGGTAGCACCCTTCCACTGGACAGTAGAAGATTTCACGGGAGTGGTGGTGGTGGGATCATCGGTCGCGTGATCGGTCGCATCGTCATTGTTGTTTTCGCTTGCAAGTCGGGATAGAGCGCTGTAGTAGTTGTTGCCGCTTCCCTCGTCTTCGTCTTTGTTGTCATTGTTGTTTTTGCTTGCAGAACTGGATAGAGTGTTGTTGCTGCTGTTGTCGCTGTCGATCTCAAGATCGTCGTCGGCGGCAGCGGCGGCATGACTGGATTTAGTGACACCAGCGCTAGCATTGGCCACAGTTCTGACGCTTGGTGTGGCGCTTGCACCGCCACGACTCTGTTTGTAGTTTCCATTGTTGTTTTGGTTGTTGTTGTTGCTGCTGCTATCGCTGCGGCCGGTGTGGTGGACTTGCACCGGACCATTTTCTTTCCCTGCGGCATTGCCGCTGTTGCAGGTCTTGGCGTGACCGGATTTAGAGACACCACCACTAGCATTGGCACCAGTGTTGGTGCCAGTGTTGCGACTACAATCAGTATTGTTGTTTTTGTTGCCTCTTTGGGCTAGAGGCTGTTGGACTCGAGGGCGATTGGATGAAGGAGGAAAAATCGAGTTTCTGTTTGAAGGAACCAGTGGAGCCAAAAGATCTCGAATATCGCGACATCCTTTTGCAGCTTTCTTCTTGTTGTTTGGCATTGTACAATGACGATGTAGTCTAGTGACTGTCTTTGGCAAAGGGACAATGGTCCAAGGTTACAGTAGTGACAGATGGAGGTCCAACGAGCGCAAGTATTGACAGAGGTCAAAGGAGAGCAATGATAAAAAGTAACCGACGCGACTGAGAGCGATTTTCGAATTTCGAGCGATTTTGTGGGAGAGGGAGTTGTGTGAGGGAGAACGAACCGGCAGGTTTTGTATTTGTGACCTGGTTCTGTGGTACTCCTCTACAGAGGTCTACACAGACCGGCGGTTACAAATACAAACCAGCCGTTATCGTTCCCTTCAAAACAAACCTGCTACTTAGGGCCGGCTGTGCCCCATCGGTCTCCGGCCTGACCATCGGGCTGTCGGGCTTGCGCCCTCTCTTAAGCCCTCGGTCAGACCTCCGACCTTGGGTCCCTGCCTCAACCCCTAAGTAAGCCGGTTTGTTTTTAATAAGTTCGAACCTGACCAAGAACAAAGAAAGAACACAGGAAATCCTACATATACCTGGTTGAGTCCGATAATAACATCCAAGCATGATATCGAAGCACGACTGGAGCGCCCACATAGCTCAGCTGGTTAGAGCACTTCATTCGTAATGAAGAGGTCCGTGGTTCGAACCCGCGTGTGGGCTTCAAGTTTTCCTATAATACATTTTTTCTACTGTCATGGTTTCAGCTGGTTAGAGCACTTCATTCGTAATGAAGAGGTCCGTGGTTCGAACCCGCGTGTGGGCTAAGCTTTTCCACCATCAGCATCATCTTTTCTATGCTGTCATGTTAGAGAGGGTGAGTTGTTTTTGCTTCTTGCCTGACACTTGCGCAGCTTCATTGCCTCCTTCCAAGCAATAGCTGCTTTGGATTTGGACACACTTGAGTATGGGAATCTCGGAAAGCTTTGTTGGAGAGGGAGGACATCTAGCTAGCTGGGCAGTCTGCACGCTTCTGGAACTCGCCCTTTCAAAATAAGCAGTCTGTGGCTGAGGCAACGGCGGATAAACCTTCCTGTATTGCGATGGCAACAATCGCCCCCATCGCAACTAAAGTGCCAACAACCACGATGACATTCCGTATCTATCTCAGAAAACTCAAAAGAAACTCTTGGTGGACACTCGAAAAGCGGACACATCCCACGAACGGGACCAAAATTAGTCAGGGCGAATCAGACGCAACTTTCATTTCCCAAGGCATACGAAGGAACACATTACAATGCTCATCTTGGTTATATTTGGCTACTGTTGTTTGTTCTGATTGTTGCGGTTGTGCGAAGCCGAGAACAAACACGGTATTTTAAAATAGTTTGAGGGGCAAGACCAACTGTAAAACAAATTCTTGATGTCAAGTACGTGATCATTTATAAAGCAGCAAGGCTGTGTATTACACGTACCGAAACCAAGCAAAATCAACTTCCGAGTCCTGGATCCCGGTCCGAGAAACATCCGTGACTTACTATCTTATCTCCATCTCTAATATGCGAACTCGTGACGAGCAAAAGCCAACTTGAAACATCATCAACTGCGTATCTTCAGCGCATACAACGGCAAGTTTGCAGGCCACGTCCATTTTGAACCATGCAAAGAGCATCGACGGTGTTGGCTGATGCAGCTGCTCATGCTGACCTTTGGTCGTCGCTTGCGCAGTTGCCAGGTTGTATTGCCTGCGAAAGAGTACAAGAAGGATCCGCTTTCTTCTTTGCTGACGACAGGCTTGAACAGGTTGCTACCAGCGCATGCCGATGACCACTGCTACCCTTTGTAGGAAGTAAGTAGTCGCTACCTCAGCGCAGTAGGAACTACGAATAGTTATCGATCTGGTCTGACGGCCGAATCGTCAAACGCAACATCATCGCTTTGAGTAGATCTAGCTAGGCTAGCTAGCAGTAGGCTCAAAAAAACTTGGCACGAAAGGGTAGCCTCTCCAAGTGCTCATTGTTCAATCATTGCAACCAAACATCAGGTCGCATCCATCTTTCATTAATCCAATTTTCAGTATCTGCAATTAATTAGTCAAGATGGGCAAAGGAGGAGAAGCACCTTTCATTAACAAGAAGGCCAGTGAAGCTGCCGATGCTGCTGCCACCACCAAGAAAGCTTTCACTTTGGAAGAAGTGAGCAAGCATCGCTTCCCCCATGATGCTTGGGTGATCGACAATGACAAAGTCTATGATGTGTCGGATTGGTACGAGCATCCCGGTGGTGCCGTCATCTTCACACATGCAGGAGATGACATGACGGATATCTTTGCGGCATTTCATGCTGCAGGGTCTCGAAACATGATGAAGAAGTTCTACATTGGCGATCTTATCAAGGAGAGCACGAACAAGGATAAACGACAGCTTGACTTTGAACGGGGATACCGTGACCTGAGAGCCAAGTTGATGGTCTTGGGCATGTTCCGCTCCAGCAAAGCCTTTTACGTGTACAAGTACCTCACCAACATTGGTATCTGGGCCCTGGCCAACTACTTGGTTGCCACCTCCGATAGCCCTGTTGTTCACTTGATCTCGGCATCCTTGATTGCTCTCTTTATGCAACAGAGTGGATGGCTGGCCCATGACCACTTGCATCACCAAGTGTTCAAGAACCGTCATTATGGTGACTACGGAGGTCTCTTGTGGGGAGGAGTCGCTCAAGGATACTCCATACAGTGGTGGAAGAACAAACACAATGGACACCACGCCGTGACCAATCTTCACAGCTCTTCGGCGGCTGCTCAAGATGGTGATCCCGACATTGATACCATGCCTGTCTTGGCATGGTCTTTGAAGCAAGCTCAATCTTATCGGGAGTTGTCCGCGGATGGATCCGACTCGGCCATCACCAAGTTCTTCATTGGACACCAAGCTATCTTGTATGCGCCCATTCTCTTGCTGGCTCGCTTGTCTTGGATGCGCGAATCCTTCAAGGTCGCCTTTGGTCTTGGAGCTGCGACCGAGAATGCTGCGGAGGAGATGAAGCGAAAGGGACTCCAATTCCCCATTGGGGAGAAGGTAGCTCTCTTGCTTCACTACACCTGGATGATCGCACTCAGTACTGGATTCGGACGCTTCTCGATCTTGCACTCCCTGGCCTACTTCCTCTTTGGAACCTGCGCCTGTGGTTTCCTCTTGGGTGTCGTCTTTGGATTGGGACACAACGGCATGGCCACCTATGACGCCGATGCCCGTCCTGACTTCTGGAAGCTTCAAGTGACCACCACTCGTAATATCATTGGTGGACATGGCATTCCTCAGTTCATGGTGGACTGGTTGTGTGGTGGTCTGCAATATCAAGTTGAACACCACTTGTTCCCCACCATTCCTCGACACAACTTGCCGAAGACACATGAATTTGTGCATTCCTTCTGCAAGGAATGGGGAGTGACCTACCACGCGACTGACTTGTTTGATGGAACCGTAGAGGTCATCAAGCACTTGCAAAACGTCTCGGACCAATTCGTTGTCGACTTTGTGATGGATGGACCTACTATGTAAATACGCAAGAAGACACATCGCTATTAGGCTTACAACACGAGGCAAAGCAAGCATGAAGCAAACAAGTAAATGATAGAGTCCATATTATTTTGTATCGGATGTAGTTGTATGTTGTCCAGCATCCGTAGTGGCACTAGATTTGAGCGTTCGTAAGGCAATTACACACATTTGCAAGTTGTGTCGCAGGTAATGGAAGGCACCGTACTGGTGCTGTGCCTCTCTGGTTAGCCCCTGTTCCTCGCTGCTACAGTATCCAGTGAGAGCATCAACAAATCAGGGCGAAGCTTCTTCTACGTGTATGCCTTGTCTTTGCTCATTACATGAATGATGAATTCGTGGCCTTCACCTGAAACTGGCTATCACGCTGCAAGGAACAGGAAAGCGGTCGAGCATGCCTTACATTAGAGTCGAACCGGTAATGAGTAATGAAGCAGAAAAAAACTTTGTCCAGCCACCACATAGCCAGCAAATTGCGGCAATTACCTGTAAATGCACCCTTGTTGATCTGCTGGGATGCACTCAGAAGTGTACCGGTACGACAGGGCCAACACCATATATCCTGCCTTGCAACAACAGGCCCGCCACAGCCAGACCCAACCCTCAGACCCTCGTCGAGGAACAGGAACTAATGTTGGACCTTCAGCTGGTCTATCTCCAGGTATGGTCCATCGCCTCGGTCAATTCCTGGTCTCACCTACACAAGGCCCAACTCTTGGAGCGGTATACTATTGCAACATGTTGTGCCGTCTGTTGGCTGTTGGAGCACACTCTTTTGCAGGTCTGGTGCTGAAATAAACATGAGCAGCATCTGGGAATCCTATTTGGTCCGGAAGTACGGCGTGCGAAGATTTAAAGCACAAACTGTACCTGGTACGGTACCGTACGTGCGGTAATCGGTACCGGTACACTATTAATAGCGGTACAGTAATAGCACCTCACGTTTGCTGGCTTTCAGATGCCAGCAGAAGATGTGAGTCACTAGTCAGATACGTGAATGAAGTCGATCATGGGCATCCAACCTTTCACGAGGACGGTTAACACATCCATCCCGATCTCTCCCTCTCACAAGATACCGAATGGAATCTCTAATCACAAGAAGGGGCAGCGCATACTGAAAGAAAAGAGCATTGATGGAGGAAGACTTCAAAATGACAACTGAGTCTGTTGCGGGCGATGTCTACAGGATTGCATTGGAAGGTGTACCGAAATCTCAGGCACGGCCAACACTGTCTGCTTATGCTCATCACTGGCTGATTGTCTGGTCCATCCTTGTGATGGTCTGGGTATTGAACCCGACCTGAACTCCCTGTGTCACAGGGTCGGTCTGGCCCAGTCAGGACGTGTTGAATTGAGGCTGGCAGAGCCCACAGGAGTCCCTTCGGGGTCTCTCTATGGGTCTCAGCATCACCCCCAACTTAGTGAATACCTAATGGTGACTACTAATGCATGCGTTGGTAAATAGCTTCTACTGGATCTGCAGGCTTCTTCGCAATGACCTCACACCAAATCATGCTACTAGCTACAGTAGCTAGTAGCAGGAAATGTGAGACTTGCGAGGTCGGCTCGTTTCAACGGAAGTCGTGATTTGATTTGGCGGCAGAGACGTCACCCGTCGTCATTGCACGCCGGGGCGCTTTTTATGGCTTGCGCGCGCTCACTCAGGTTGCTCGTTCGTATGTGCAGTACGTCAGTTGCGTTGGCTGCCCGAGATCAGCGTGTACTGTAGTTCTCTCGCTTATCAATCATTCACTCATCACAGACACAACAACACAACAAGCATACAGAAAACACCAAGCAGGAAAGACGAATCTACTGATAGTTTAATTAAAATTATCCAGCACCATGTTCATGTCTGAGCTCCCTAACTAAATCCCCTCCGACATCGACCAAAATCTCTGGCACGGCAAGTTCGAGCGCGACTAAGCCGCCAGCAACGCCCGAGCTCAATCGAGCATGCACTGGTATCTCTGGTGCAACCAGTCCGAGCGAAAGCCTTTCGGTCGCTCCCCGAACACCAGAAAAAACTTTGGCGGACGTTTTCCCTGAAGACGACCCGTCTTGCCCAAGCCCACCTCGTAAAAATCTCGACATGGATATTCAATCAGTCCATAAACGGATGCGTCCTCTCCTTTGGTTCAGAACTCCTGAATATCTAGAGAAACACGAACCAGACAGATACAAAAAAATGTGCTATTTGATTGGTCAGAACCTTGACAAGGAGTTTTCACAGGGCATGGGCAAATTCAAGGTTATGGAACTGTTGTCAAAGAAGAGTCCAGTCGGGAAGCGCTTTCACGCGTTGTACAGCGCTAAGGGAGACGAATTGACACCACCAAAATGTGAAGAAAAGGAAACGTTCCAGCTTTACCTGGAAACACACTTTCCTGAGTATTTGAATAGCGGTGGCTGTGGCGGACATGCCGCTAATCACTTCACCATCTTCGACGAGAACCCTGACCATCCCAACATGGAACCTTTTTACAGATTTCAGCTCTCGGGGAATTGCTTTCTCCAAGCTCCCATCTTGATGCTTTGGTATCTGGCCCTATGGTACGACAAAGACAAAGCCGCAGCGGATGTGCCGTTGATCCACCTTTCGCGATACGCACGAAACACTTTTGAGAGCAAATTTCTGTATGAATATCTTTTTAATGACGCTGGCGGAGAATCCTGGTTGGTGATATCCAAACTCATAACAGATCGTACACGCATGGAGCATATGATTGAATACACTTCTTCCTACGAGGACGTCCTCGATTTTCTTAAGAAGCATGGCCCGGCGGTTGTGGAACTGGACAATGTGCCTCTCGAAGACTTTTGCAAACCAAATAAGTTCCATTATACCACACTCCCAAAAATGGACAAGACCAAGAAGACGGAGATGGGTGGTCATTCGATGCTTCTTGTCGGGGTTCGACAGGATGAAGCCCGCCAAACCTTTTTTCTACTTCAAAACTGGTGGGAGGGGAAGCTGTTTGTTGAAGTACGCAACGACTATCTCATCACTATAGCAGGCGATCGATATGGCTTTCGTTTCATTAAGGCGGCGTTTGAACTGAAGGATGAGGCCCAGGTTTATGCTCAGCCTCGTACCGAGGGAGCCCGCAACGCACAGTCCTCGCCTTTGCTCGAACGGCAATTTCGTCAACAGGGTGTCAAACAGCGTTAGTGGTCGAAAATACGGTATGACAGTGTCGGGAGTTACTTTTACGAGAGGGGAGATCTCGTAAACGGAAATAGTTTCAAAAATTCATAGTAACGTATTATTATTCATTACAAGTGCGAGAGAGAACCACGGAGCCTGTGATGAGGGCTTCCGGCGGACATGTAGGCCTTTATGCGGGATGGCATCGGCCATGGTGATTGGGACTTCTATCTGGAGGGCAGTAGTTCTTCAGAAAGCAATTCAAATGGTTCAGAGCATTCTTCTGCTTGTTCTTGGCGGAGGCAAGGCGCTCTTCCATTGCATCGTTGTAGCGGACTGGTGGTGGCGGCGGCGAAGGGGAAGGGGACGACATGGGTGTGATTTCTGGCTGCCCCGTAAAGCTGGAAATGGCGTGACGAAACCTCTACTTCAAAGAAGTGATGTTGGGTTGTTGGTTTGGGCGGGGTCGGGGTTCGAGGTTGTTGCAATCCGTTGGTGTGTTGGGTTGGGCGGGTCGGGTTCGAGTGTTGTTGTGGATGCAAGAAGATTGTGTTGATGGATGGAGGGGTCGAGGTTGTTGTTGGATTTGTTGTATGCAAGAGGGGTTGTCGATATCAAGCTATTCATGAGAAGGCCAAACACTCATTTCAAAGGCGGTGACAGGTTGAAACCGCTCAAGACAAACCTACCCATCGCTCACACCGTCGCGCCGGGCATCGACAACCTAGTCAAGTTTGTACTGGATGGGATGAACAAGTTGGTTTATCAAGACGATAAGCAAGTGGTCAAGTTGGTTGCGTGTAAACTATACGACTCGGAGAGAGGTTGTGATGGCAGGACGGTTGTTGAGGTTACAAAATTTGACTGAAAAGCGATTTTATAAAAAAAACAATCAACTACGGGATGGGTAGCCTATCCCATCCGGACGTAAAGACACCATCAGCTCATATATAAACGCATCGGCCGCTTATTCAGTATGTTCATCGTAACTAGTTTGTGTGCCACTCTCACGGACTATGTGACAATGGTGATTTTTATGCGGCAGGAATTTGTCACTGAAGCGTTCATCGGTTACAGCCACAGATACCGCTACTTGCAGCTATGCTGCCTGATCGATCAAGATGAAGAGGTTGACATCAGGAGCTGGCTTCCAAACTACAATGTGCACGAGCTTGGTGATGACACCACGGAACTCGACCAACCTGTGTCTATTGAATGTTGTATGCTAATCTGCATGGCTGACTGTGATCTACTGCAAACCAAGAATCTCAAGAATACGAGGCTTCGCCTTTGCGAAAGACTGGGTGTGTCGATCCCAGCGGCATCGGCGGTCGTCGAGTCTGAATGAGAGGGGCGTTGGTTGGTGTGGTAATCAGAGCATGTTTGTGTCACTTTTCAATTCTTTCATAAAAAAACAAGATTGTGATTGCAAAGAAGATTTTAGAATGCAGGCAACGACAAAGCAGTATACTTTCTGTCTTTTCTTCAACTACGGTGATGGTTGGACGAAGGAGAAAGCAGAAAAGAGGCGGGAGGATGCTCTTGTCTACCTTAAAGCGCTCTTTGAAAATAAAGCAAGATTTAGTTGCATTGCAAAAGATGAGAGCAAGACTACTTCTTGTTTGTTGCTGAGGGGATACATGAATCTTAATTCGCCTTGTTCCCGAGCTTACGCAAAACGACTACTGGGAAAATTCAGCAGTTGCAAGCCTTCTTACTTCGGCGACATGGTGAGCTTGTGTCGCATGGTGCACATAGACAAGGACTTGACAGTCACAGGAAGGCTTCCTTACGTTGGAAACAATTCCATAAAAAAGTTAAAACCATTTGCTACAGACCCTAAGTTTGTCATAAAAATCATGCTTGACTCTATGGACTCTATGGAAAAAAAATGACTTTGAAGACAAGAAGAATACGGGGGATGTTAAACCGGAGCAGATTAATTCTTAGTTTCTAACGTTAACTTCTTGCGCCTACTGGAAGCTTTAGCATCAGCTTGGCGACGTCTAGACAGAATCCTCTCAGAAAGGAGTGAGTATGGGATGTGTTTTCCTGCTAAGAGGGCTTGATCATAACCTTCGCGAGGGCACAAAGTCATGATTAAACGGCTACGGGATTCCGGTGAGAGGTTGCGCATCTTCTCATGGCTCCCTTTGTACCTAATAGGGTTCGTTTGAGAGATCGAGCCGTCGATGTATTTGAGCATTGTCGATGCATCGTTATAGTGGAAGGATGGATTTATCATTCTTAGTTTGAGAGGAAGAAAGTGAAAAAAATGAGACTAATCTGGCAAGGTGGGGTTTGAGGACGGGTACGAGTACACACCCGGCGCGGGGTTGGCAGCATGGAACACCCGGCGCGGGTGTCACAATGGATAGGAGGAAAGATGGAATACTAGTACGTCTTAAGTTGTTTGGCTCATAAATTTTAAAAATGGAGAATGTAACCGCAGAAACAAGGGACGGTTTCGACGAGAAAGTCGACGGTTTGGTTGACACCGACGAGGAAGTCGATCGTGACGTTGATCGTGACGTTGATCGTGACGTCGATTCCCGTTTAGAAGAAGTCGCGGGTCCCGAGTTAGAAACTGGCGTATTGGATTCTTTCCAGAATGACTTAGAAGGGGTTGTTGAAGCTGGCGATGCAGCACGAATTGATGACGAGGAAGAACAAGTTACTATTAATACTGAAGACGGAAAGGTCATCGCTAAGAACCCTAAAAAGAGGGAGCAATTCCAGCATATCGCTTTGACACTCTGGGATACTTCCGACGAACACCGTTTGGAACTTAGCAGAATGAAGACACGTTATAAATGGATTGGAGTTGCCGAAGGAAAGGAGAAATGTCCTGAATCGGGTAGATGGCATTTACACGTGTACATACAGACTCATTGGAGGAAGAGGAAGAGGATTACGGATATAAGGAAGTGGTTTGAGGCGACAGAAGCCGAAGTGCAATGGCCTGGAGGAGTATGGGTAGGAAAGGTCCAGTGTAAAAGGGAGTACTTTGCCTACTTAAAGAAGGACGGAGACTGGAATAAAACTGGAGATATATTTACAGATGACAATCGCAAGGGGGCACGCAATGATCACCATGACCTTCGATATTATGCTATCCAGGAAGAAGGGATTCATTCACTTAAGGAATTAAGGAGGCGGTTTCCCAACCAAATGTCCAGGTCCGAGACTTTTGCGAGACAGCTAATCAACGATATCACACCGATACGCCCTCCGGAAGCCATTGCCGTTGAATACCTTTGGCAGAAAGAGCTGAGATGTAAACTCGCACAACCAGACAATGGCCGCGAGATCATCACGATCCACAGCTCGCAAACTCGTCAGGGGAAATCGGTCATGATGGATCACCTTGAATACGAGTACAACGAGCGCGAAGAGGGATCCTGTTTGATTATGGCGGATGGCAAGGCAAATGATATGAAGAATACTATCAAGGACTTCAGACATACCTTGAAATTATTGATAATCGACATCTCCAAGGCAAAGGAGACAAGGGGAAATCCCGATCAATACCGGATTGGAATGTTTCAAATGCTTGAACAGATCAAGAACGGGCGGTTCTTTTCCGGCAAGGGCATGCTGACCGAGATTGTTCGATTCACACACAAGGTTAAAATAGTGGTGTGCAGAAATGATATGCATAAGCCTGGGATGCTATACGGGGAGGAGAGAGAGGCATACATGACCATGAACCGAAACACATGGGAATGGGTGTCTCCTAGGAATCTAAGGACGCGGTGGAACGCTTTAAATCCTGATGATCAAGTTCTCATCGACGACGAGGACTACGACGACGAGGGTTGGTTTGTTGAGTATAATGGCAAAAAGAAAATCGATCACGGAAAATGGTTTAAAGGGAGGACTGTCGAAAAACAACTGGAAGAGGAGGAGAGGGTACGGGAAAGGAAGGTTATCAACGACGCCAGGCGTTTGGTTTACCTGAAGAAAAAGTATACACGGTTGAGGATCGCTGCATGGATCTGGCAAAGGCTTAAACCTGTCGAAGAGGAGGAGGAGGAAGAGGAGGAGGAGGAGGTTGAACCTGAACAGATTGAAGCTGCAGAGGAAGAAATGGAAATGGTTGAGGTACTCCGGTCTGTCAACAGAGTTAGGGTTAACGTCCTACGGTCTAATCACAAGAAGGGGCAGCGCATACTGAAAAGAAAAAGAGCATTGATGGAGGAGGATGCTGCATTCAACGACAACAAGAGGAGGTATGACAGCCATAATTACTAGGAAAGATTAGCTAGGCTTTGAAGGTTCCATATTCCACGGCATTTTGCTCAATCTCTTGTTCATCTTTAAACTGTTTCCACAGACATTCTAGGCAATCGTCTGGAACTGGTCGTATATCCAACTCAGATGGCAGGGAGGCGAATTCATCATTCAAAATCAATAGACCTTTGATGTATGGGTTCCCCCTGAGGGAAATTCTCCTGACATAGATGAGGTAATCCATGGTACCTTCATGCCAAATTCGACTCATGAACGCGTCTTGGTCAACGCTGGTGACGTTTGATGGGGAAAAAAATGTTAAGGCTATCATCGGTTTGCTTTTATGAGCAATAGCACTAGGCGAACTAGGCGGCGCACAGCGAGAGGACTAGGCGGCGCACAGCGAGAGGACTAGGCGGCGCACAGCGAGAGGATTAGGCGGCGCACAGCGAGAGGACTAGGCGGCGCACAGCGAGAGGACTAGCTAGGCACAGCAATAGGATCACATCGGGGTTTGCAGTTTGTACCCGCTCATGCGCCGCGGGGGCTGGAGTTTGGAAGGGGGAGAACGACATGCTCTAAAAGTTGGCTCAGTTTGTTACAGGGACCTGGTTTGGAACAGAGGTTAAATCATGGAGCAGCCAACTTTTGAGCAGTCGGAGGATCCTGTTCCAAACATTTACTATGGAAAAACAGTACAATCGGGTGTTTTGGAACAGGATCAGAGGTCTGCGTAATATTGATGCTTCGCTTGCAGACCTCTTATACGCACATTTGATCGGATTGTCCGTGAGTATGGGAGGGGGGACTGGGAGGGTTGGAGTTGGCAGCATGTTTTTCTAGCTAGCTAGTGAGCCGGTCGAAGACTCGGAGCCGGTCGAAGACTCGGAGTATCATGTTCCGTGAGCTTACATCTTCCAAATAGATGGCAATGGATCATCTCTTGACTATCTACATTAGGACCAAGATTTTTTGGGGCAATGACGATGTGGCTAAAGATGGGACGGTTCGATTGACACGACGGGAACTTTCGAAATTAGCTGATGAACTAGGCATTGGAGAGAGTGAAGTCGATGAAACGTTAATTTCATTGAAGTGTAAGGGGGAGATTAAAGGCTATGGCAGCAATTACAAGGTTACAATCAAGGAGGGGATTACCCAACCGGAGCTGCTGGTGGTGACTGGAGAGAAGAAACCTCAGGGTCAGAAGTCCTACGAGAAAGTCACTAAATACGTCGAGAAAACGAAGAAAGGTGCAGGTAGTCGGAAATTTAAGGAGTTTTTAGCTTCCAAACCGATGGATAAGTACGTAAAGAAAACTTGATCAAGATCGATTCTTCTTTAGGACCTTGCGAATGTCGTCGGGGGTGTTAGCTGGTAGAACCAGCGATTTCTCGTACTCCTTCCATTTCGGGTCCTTCATTGCCCTTTCCAGATTCGATATGGTGATAGTTTTGCAATCCTGAACAGACGCATTCAGTCGAAGGGTTTCGAGTGCTTCACAGACGCGTTTCTCAGCTTCTCTTGCGATGCCACGGATGTCGGCTTTGTTCCAGTATTCAGATGAGTTTTGCTTCAACGGACAGGAATCGGCGTGAAGCAGCACCACCCTTACGGCGTTTCTGATGGTGTTCAACTTACTGCCCAAGGCTTTCTTCTTGTTGGAATCGAATTCCTCCCAGGAGGGACTTCTCTTGTCCAATTCATAACCGGCTGGGTAATTGTCGTAGAAGAAGCCTATGGTCGCTTCAGTCAGGGATACAGGCGCGCCTTCTGAAGGACCTGACCGAGAGAACCTGAGGAGGGCTTTCGGGAGGGTTGGTGCAGGTGCTGGTGTTTGCGCTCCTATGAGATTTTCCTCGAGTCTCCGTACCGACTTCTGAATGTTGAACAAGCGGTCCACAATGAAGGAACTGGTGATTTTGCTTTCGACGTTGAAGGCGCTGCGGATGTCATTGACCTTATGCTCGAGGCTTTGGAGTCTCATGTGATTTGCTTGGGCTATCGATGCTAATGCGTTGAAGTGATCGGTAAAGCATCGTGTGTCCATTAGGATGCCACGGCCACCGGGGTCACCTCCATACAACGGAAACGTTCCAATCGGGAGGCCGGGGGCATTTCGAGATAGGAAGGCTCTGCGGGCTTCACCGACCCAGTTACTGAATATGAGATCCCTGTCGTTTCCAACGGCTTTCTCCAATGCCTGGTTGACACGCGAAAGAAACAGGTTATCCCGGACAGAAGAGCAAGAGTAATCCTCGGGAATACCGTCAGTTGACAACCCTTCAACCAGTTTCGAAAAGGGATGCGACTGCAGGATATCTACGAACTGATCACACCGTAGGAGTAAGGTCATCACCAACAATTCCCTAACCTTGGGGTGCCAGCGTCCGTCTGCATCATCTTCAAAGATGACATCGGTTAACCTTCTCAAGGCATCGGGGTCTGTGTCGATATCATCAAACGTCGGAGGTTGACCTCCTACGGTTGTCTCACCGATCTTTGTCACCCACCTGCTCAGTGCCTTTCCACCTTGACGCAATAACTCAGCTGACCCAAAAATGTAGTCAAAAATCGTATGGATGCTTTTCGATTTGAGGCCGCTTCGGAATATAGGGGCGTATCCTCCCAAAGAAGGGGATTCTACCATCGCCTGATTTGAACCTCTCCTGTTGGAATGAGAGCCGAGCTCCTCGTTTATCTCGTCGGCTAAGCCTTCAAAGGTGTTGCGGATGCTTTTGAAGAACTTTGTCCACTGCTGCCTTGGAGACTCCGCTGTCAGATTCACCTGACTTCTTTGTCCTTAAGGCAGCATTGGAGAAAAGCTGGAGGACATACTCGTCAGAGCAACCATTCACGACGATTAAATGGATCAGGCTGAAATAGAAGTCTTCCAAGATGCCGTCGCGGTGAGGATAGATTGGAAGGGTTTGGAAGGGGCCATTCTTTTGACGTTGCAGTTCAACAGCAAGGACATGGTACTTGTAGACCAGCTCGTTCATTTCGATTGCTGTTACCCCTTTCGATTTGATCAAAGAAACTTCACTGCCGCGGCCGGTGCAATGATAACTTGTATTTTGCAAGTGCCAGAATTGGGCTAACTCCCGGGATCCTGACCAGATACACGCGGTTGCCATGGCTTCACGATCCTGACGGGTGCTAGACACTTCTTGGGTTTTAGGGTTGCCTTTGGCTCGATCGGATTCCCTGTACAACCCTATAAGCTTCGCACGGAGTTTCTCATGCGGCGTTTTCTGGAAGACAGGGATAGGATCTTCGTTCCTGAATTTGTTGGTAAAGAAAACCTTCACGGAGGAGAAGAATCCGTCTGCAGTATTTTTGGCCAGGCGATCTCGTTTAGGATTACAGGCTTGCATAGCATGGCGTCCAAGATAGGTAACAAAGCGAGATATCATATCGTCCCAGAAACCAAACGCGTCTTTCTTTGAGGCCCTGAGGGGGATCCCCAGATAGGGAATATTTTTGGCTTCAACGGGGTCGATTCCAATCTGTTTGCAGTACCCTTTCAGGAAGTAGTTGAAATGATTGAGAGCTTTCCTTTGCTTGTCAGCGGCAGAGCCTAAGAGGCCATCGTCGATAGCGTGAGCGTAGAAGGCTGGTTCCTCATCATCAGAATCCGACATGGTGGGGGTGGCGATGTTGTTGTTGGCTTGGCGGGATGTTGTTTGTTGTTGTGGCAAGGATCGTCTATTGCAATTTAGGCGTCTGACTTCACCGGTACGTAAGACTTCGTGGAAGAGTCAACCGTGACAGAATGAGAACCGTAACCCTAATAAGTGCTCTAATTACCCGATCGATTATCGATCACGGTTGGATGCCAGCAAGTGCCAGCACGAACCAGATATTGCTAGCGAGCGTCGGGTACAGTACTGTACGATAACGGTACGAACGAAGAACGAAGCATTGTTGCACTGGAGGAGAGGACCTGGCAAAGATCGTCTGCAACTGGCAAAGTATTCGTCCTCGTGGAGAATTCTCTTGCCCGTCCTCCATTTCTCCATTTGATAACCCCAATGGCGGAGGTACGATTGCGAGTGCTGAGAAGGAGCAAAGGAACATGTCTTGTTTCTTTGCTAATAGCATCGATACTAGGAAAGGTGCAGGCAAATATTTGCTTCATGCTCTACCAATACGCTGATGGGTGCTCGGAATATGCCCATAGAAACAATCTCAAGCAATGGATTGCCTCCCAAGCTATCAAGGACCCATCTGTGACCACATGGGTGTACTTCAACGCATACGCCAATGCCCCCAAGAGCCCCGAACGTCCAAGGTGGAATGGTCCAATTTGTCCAATCAATACCTCTCCTCTAGAGGATGTCTGGACCCAAGACGGAAGCCAGCTGCTTTCCCAGGCATCGAATGAGAAGTACGAAGGTGGCATGTATTTGACATACGATCATTCCGATCAAAAGATGAAGGTCTACAAAGAGCTCCCGGACACAGAGAACAGCCTTGCAGATCTCGATTCGTTTGCTAGCTATGCTTTGGTAGATTGCCTGACAAAGGGGTCCAATGATGCATTCTTGACGGTCAACACTCATGGGGCGGAGGGGAAACAACCACAAGGTGGCCGGAGGCGCCGCATTCGGAATCTTCGCCGTCAACTGCAGACATCAGATCCGAATCTTTTTGCTCGAGATGAGACAGACCCACACTTTTTTGAACGTGATCAAGGGACAGTCATCAATGCGCCAAATGTCACCGTAAATGAGCAAATGGTTGAAAAACTGAAGCAAACTCTTGAAAATCTACCGCCCGGAGGCCCCGACAAGTTCTCGGTCATTGGCTTTGATCATCACTTCATACAAGGCTTCAGTATCATCAATCAATTCAAATCAATAGCTCGGAGTGTGATCGGGAGCCAATCCTTCGTGCCGGATCATGGTAAGGACAAGATCAGATCCATGCTTTTACCTCAACCAGCGAGCCCTAAACAATGTATCTACGTTTTTCTCTTCAGGCTGGTCCTTCGACACCCTCACAGAAACATCTTCGGCACAGGCTTTGGCCAAGGAAATATCAAAGAACTTTGTTGATCAGCCCCAGCAAGAGAATGGAGAACATGCAAATTCGAAGACAATTTCAGTTGTTGATACAGGAGACGCGTTCTCTCGCTTTGTATCGGCCTTTAATGACTACTTGGGGGTGCTGATGAACCTCCTCGGAAACGGCAACGACACTGCTCTGTTCACCTTTATCCATCGGGCTAGAGTTGAGGCCATCGTCTACAATGAACAATATCAATTGCCTGATCTGGGAAGCCTTTTTGAGGAACTAAACAAACACTGCGATCCCAAACCAGACAGCGAACTTCATGCCAAGTCGATGGCTGTTATTCAAGCATACAATTCTGTGTTCCATGCACGAGAGTTCGGACCTGGCACGGTCGAGGGAACGGGAATGTACGTTGAAGTGCCCATTGTCGAAGAGTATCGAAAAGATCCAGTGTACTGGGATAAAGTCCTCTTCCCCCCAAGTCTTTCTGACATCCCCAACTACATGCCGTTCTGGAAAGGATACACACAAGTAGAGAAAGTTTTTGGAGACAAGAAAGATAGCGTTTGCCGTGGCACTCTTGGAGCTGGTGGCGAGGCAATCTTCATCGACCCCGAAGTCATCATCAATCGACAGGACAACATAACTGTGGCCACCAATTTGGGCGAAGCTGTTGTTGATGTTGAGGCGAGGTATGGTCTGGACATCTCGAATCAAGTTGACGAGTGGAAAGCGGATTTCATGGCCGCTGGTATTGGTGCGCCTCCACCTCCAAATAGACATCTTCGAAGGGATTTGCAATCTCAGGAGCAAGCAGAAGAGTACCTTGTCATGTACGGCGGTAACGCTCCAGGAGAATTTGATTTCTCACCAGAAGCGAAGTATCATTACTCTGCCACTTGGGACCGAAAGTTCCATGTCATCATGGAGGCGGAAGATGAAAGCACCTACCAACCTTTGTTCCTGGACGGACCTCTTGATCCTACCATGGTCCAGAGGATCCCCATTATTTACTTTGGTCCCGAAACCCCAAATGTGAGAGACAGCGGTCAAATTCCGAGGGGAACGCCAGTAGAACTGGCCAAAGGACGACTTGGTGGTAATCATGGCACATTAGAGTTCCACATGCAAGATTCCGAAGAGTCTTACACCCTCTGGGTTATCTTCTGCGATCGGAGTACTTTCAAACTTATTACTTTTGACGAGGCTGGCGAACCCGTCTTCAGTGACTGTGCGTCTCGAGAGGTTCGACCTGATCAGGGAGGCTTTTTGGCCCCCATCGTGCCTGTCAGGGCATTTGTTAGTGGCAGAAACATAACTGAGATTGTGGGTGGGACCACAGGGAGACTTCTCCGCTGGTCTGAAGATGTTCACTTGCACATTGAATCAAAGTCAGACTCCGAAATTCGCGAGCAGTTTGGTACCAGGTCAGTGGTCATTGAAATGGAAGCAAAGAGCAGCGACTCCGAAGAGCATGACTTTGTGAGGCACACATTTGATTTGACCCCGGGAGAGCAAGGGAGGACTCCTCCACCGAAATCAGTAAAACAAGGTGATCTCGCAAAATGCAAACCAGCCGTGCAAAGCACTACGATTCAAGGCGCAGTAGCTCGTCAAGCAGTGTCTGGAGACTTGGTTTCGTTGGCGCATACAGACCGTGAAAACGCCCCTTGGTGGACGGTTGATCTCTTGGACGATCACAAGATCGATAGTGTCGTAATTGTCAATCGTCAAGATTGTTGCCAAGAACGCTTGGACCGTGTGACGGTTGAGTTGTTGGACGAGGCAGGGGCAGTGCGGGCCACAGTGCAACACAATCCCGACGCAGACGGGCCTATCAATGATGCATGGACGGCTTTTTTTGACAGAGCAAGCGCAAGGAAAGTTCGAGTTTCCACTCAATGGCCAGCAGGACAGCTTGAGTTTCTAAACTTGGCATCGGTGCAAGTCTACGGCGACTGCACGGATAAAGACTCTTGCGAAGCGAAGCCGGGGTGTAGGCATGGCGACATTGCCTTTTGTAAGGCGGCTCGGCAGAGCTCAACCATTGTGCATCGTACAATGAATGATGGCCACGAAGCTCGTCGTGCCGTGGATGGAACAGAACATCTTGCACACACGGAATGCGAAAGGGCGCCATGGTGGATTGTGGATTTGGCCTCTGATCACGTCATCTCTCATGTGGTTGTGAAGAACAGAGAGGACTGCTGCTTTGAACGACTTGATGGTCTCAAGGTTGAACTGTTGGATGCTTCCGAGCAGGTTGCAGACGTCTTTCAGCGTAAGTGGCGTTGTATCCTTTTTGTTCTTGGAGCTGCTGTCCGTTCAAACCTCCCACTAATGATTCGATTCGATCATTCTTATTGTTGCCTAACTAACTAATGACGAATGCAGATGATCCTGCTGCAGAAGGCCAAATCAAGCCAATGCTAACAATACCTTTCAATGGAGTGGTGGCCCGAAAAGTAAGATTGTCCATTGATGTTGGGGAAGGCCAATGCACGTACCTGAACCTCCAGGAAGTTGAAGTTCATGGCCAGTGCAATCACAATGATGCATGTGCCACAGGAATAAATTCTCAGTGCAATCTGCCAGAGGAAGAAGAGCCTCTTTCACGGTAAAAAGAAAACCTCAACATCATTATCTATTACTAAAAACAGGTGCTTGAGGATGTCCATCCATCAGCTGAAGCAAGCAAGCAAGCATGTGAAGTATTTTCATGCAAGGGACTATGTGTTTGCATTGTGGGCATGTTATTGTTGGGTTTTGGGTCTCCATTATTGATGTGATGGCGCAACTGAAGTGGGAAAGGGAAGTGGATCAAGATGCTACGAGTACGCTAGTAGAGCTAGAATAAGATGACAATTGATTGATTGATTGATTGATTGATTGTGCATAAAATGTGATGTGGGGATGGTGTTGCTTGGGGTAATCATTCCTCCCTGTTAGAGATTGCCCATGCTTACAAAGGTGGTAACCAGTAAACAACAACAACCATGCACGGAGTACAGGGTGGTTGTTCCATCAGATCAAGTAAGTTGGTTGGGCACTTCATTAGTATTGAAGAGGTCTCCACACAACACAAACAAACATGCAAAAGAATCATAGCAGCAACTTCCTGTCAGGCTACCAGCAAGCAGAAGTGTGGAAGCACGACCTTGCTCAGGCTTCAAAACTTTGGTTTCTGAACCTGAGAAAACAAACACACATGCAAAAGAATCATAAAAGTAACTCCCTCCACTTTCCACCAGCAAGCAGAAGTGTGGAAGCACGACTCAACTGATGTTCATGGCAGTATCACAAGACAGAACATGCCTGAGTTGTCAGGAACTTGCTCAGCCTTCAAAACTTTGGTTTCTGAACCTCAGAAAACAAACAAACATGCAAAAGAATCATAGCAGCAATTCCCTCCACTTTCCACCAGCAAGCAGAAGTGTGAAGCACGACTGAACTGATGTTCATGGCAGTATCACAAGACAGAACATGCCTGAGTTGTCAGGAACTTGCTCAGCCTTCAAAACTTTGGTTTCTGAACCTCAGAAAACATACCCAGCTAGAATAAGGATCATAGCAGCAATTCCATCCATTTCCCATCAGCAAGCAGAAGTGTGGAAGCACGACTGAACTGATGTTCATGGCAGTATCACAAGACAGAACATGCCTGAGTTGTCAGGACTTGCTCAGCCTTCAAAACTTTGGTTTCTGAACCTCAGAAAACGACAACAAGTCATTAGGATCATAGCAGCAATTCCATCCATTTCCCATCAGCAAGCAGAAGTGTGGAAGCACGACTGAAGGCCGCAATAGCTCAGTTGGTTAGAGCACTTCATTAGTAATGAAGAGGTCCGTGGTTCGAACCCGCGTTGTGGCTACGAAATATCTTTTGATCCTGTTGGCTATGAGGTTTGGATGTTGGGAAGGAACCTTTTGCTCGTGACATGCTAACGGTATCGTAATGGACGCGTGCATCTTACACTTTAGCTCCTCACTTTTTAAAATTTGGGATGAATGGTCAGGCACCTCCTCACCACTATGCGTATGCTAATAAGATGTGAGGCCCATGGTTCGAGACGTCCCTGTCTCCTGCCTGTTGCACCCGTTTTCTTTGATTCTTATGACTGCCCAACGTCAAGCCTGCTGTGAAAGAACAAGCGGCCACTTTCGCTTCGACTCGCGCTTGTGATCAGACGGTTCAGTGGTGCTGCTTTTGGTGCTTTGGTTCCAATGGTAGTGTTACTTGTTGCGTGTTGCGTGCTGCTTGGAAAACCGGGAGCTTGCATGTCGTCACTTCCTTTCTCGTTGGTGAGTCGAGTCGAGTCAAATCTGAGTCGAGTCAAATCCGAGTTGAGTCCATTGAATCAAATCGATTCAATTCGATTCACAGTTACATGTAGTTGGTTGCTTGCATCGTCGCAAACTGCTCTATTTTCGAAGACGGGTGTGGGACAATGGTACTAGTAGCTGATCAGTGAGAGTCACAAGTCGCTCTCTTTGGTCCGCTAGCTAGCTAGACTAGCACGGTAGTCTACTAGCAAACTAAAACATGGTCACGACAAATTGAAAGAAGCAGCCGCTTCAAAAGAAAAGAAAAAAGTTTGTATGTGCTGCCATAGAGGTGCAACACTGCAAGAAATCATACCGGTATTGTACCAGTACATGCATGTACTGGTAAGACCTTTAGAATTGAAATTACCGTATTCGACCGAGCCATCGTGAAACGCTATTACCCTCGAAACAAAGTCACGCCCACGGTCAAGCTGAACAACCATGTCAACCGTCCTTTCATACGATAGCGTAGCGAATCGAATCGACGCAGCCCGCATTCCATGTGCTTGGTGCTCTGCGATTACTGGTAAGAGTGCTAGCACCACAACTTCATTCGGTATAAGCCTATTAGCTCGTTGCTTTCAACCACACATCTCGCTCTTCTCTACTCGCAGAAGGCAGTTCTTTCTTGCGCGAGAAAAGAGGCACGCACGCAACATGATATTGTCAAGATTGAAGAAAGTATTCCTTTGTGTTTATCTCATCGTATATTATGCATCAACCCATGCGCCTGCGGCCGCCACGGACACGAACTTTCTTGGTAGTCCTTTACTGGGTGACTTCCACGATGTGAACGAGATGCAACCCGTTGTGGTCATTAGCTTCCTTTCAACTTGTGCCGGGATTTCTCTAGACACGTCACCACCGTCTTGTTTCATCACCAAGTTCATCGAGTCCATGTTTCCTGAACAACAAGAGTGGGGAGGTTCTTCTTGTTTGCTGGAAGAGTTCGCGGTATCCAGTGCGGCCGCGAGAGCGCGACAACTTTGTCCCGATAGCACAGATGACGAGCAACATGCTCTTCAAGCCGTCTTGACAAACCAGCAGTGCGCCCAAGAACTTTGTTACGAACAATCGTTCTATGGGATTGAGGCAGCTTGGATGAACAACTGTGGTGACATCAGGCTGCCTGATCCTCAGGCGTCCGAGGAACAAGAAGTGATGCTCTCTTGCATGCTCCATTTTGCAATGTCTTCACCTGCTTCAGTCTTTGATTTGTCGTATCCGACGGTGGGATCCATTGAAGCCTGCTTTGCACCGGCATACGAGACCATGGCAATGTTCTGCCCTCAAGTACTGGCACCTAGAGCACACGACGAGTGCTCGGAAGCTACTTCGGAGATGGATTCGACGGCAGCAAGTATGACTAACGAAAGCTCGGGGCAATATCAACTGTTCATCGACTTTTGCCATCTGATGATAGAGTTGAGCGAGTCTCCAAAACGACAATGCCTTGTTCCACTTTGCGCGTACTATGACACGACATCTTCGCCAACCTTTGTTGCAACATTGGCGCCGTCATCAAAACCCAGTGTGCCCCCCAGCAGTGAGCCTTCCAATGGCCCCTCTCTCCGACCAACATCTTCGCCCAGTGATCGTCCAAGCTCTTACCCGACAAGCTTTCCATCCAAGAGCCCCAGCACTGTGCCAACCAATTCTCCGACGTTCTTTCCTAGCACTGTACCTTCAATGGCTCCCTCCAACTTGCCATCATTCTCCCCGAGCTCTACTCCATCAATGGCACCCACAACTAATCCATCCCAGATCCCATCGCAGAGCCCATCCCAAGGACCGAGCATGCTTCCAAGTTCGATCCCCAGCTCTACTCCTTCACTTTCTCCCTCCAACTTGCCATCGTATTCGCCAAGCTCAAGTCCGTCGGCATTCCCAAGTGCAGCACCTTCAGTGCAACCATCAATCTTGCAGCCTTCGATTGAAGAAGAGATTGACGTGGTCGAAGTACAGCTCTACACTTTCCTCATCGTGAACAATGTCGGCATGGCAGGTATGACGCCCGAAGAGGAGGAGGAGTTATTCTTGGCCTTCGAAGCGTCCGTGACAAGGTCGCTGTACGATTCCAGTGGGTTTGGCTTGGTATCACTTGGGGATATTGACGGCTCTGTTGCGGTACAAGTCGTGTCGACGGAAGAGCTTGAGGCAGAGCCACCTTCCCTCGGAGTGGATTTCCAGGTGACTCTTCGAGGAGAGTGTCCTAGTACTTGCAATAGCACGGCTTTGGCGGATGACCTGTTGCAGGACTTCTTCCAGAGACTGAAGGATGCGATCGCTTCCGGCGCTTTAGCCCAAGCCCTTCGGCAAGAGGGCACAGAGAGGAACATTGAGACCCTCGAATCTGTTTCGATTCCACAAGATCAATCAGCATTTGTTCGCTTTAACATCCGGGTACGAGAGCCATACAATGAGGTCCAAACCGTCGAACGAAAAGATATCAGTGCTGCAAGTTCTGTACGACCAGTTTCGTTGATTGTCCTCGCCTTCACAATGGTGTCTGCCCTGGTAGTTGCCACAGCGATACAATAATGATAGAGCAGCTTTTCTCACGTCGAGTTTTAATCCTTAGAAGCTGTCCTCTATAAGGTACCGGCACTTGCCCCCCATATAGCTACAGTAGGACAAGCACAAGCGATTGACGCACAAGCACGGATACCCCTGCCAGATCTGCCGTTTCTTACGGCACAAGCCACGGTGACTGCAGCTCTGGCTTGGAATGCTCTGTGCAGTTCGATTGAGCACTTTTCACATGGTATGAATGAGAGACAGGAAGTAAGTGGTTGAATGATTCAATCGTTCAGCATCTTGAAGCGGGTTGTTTGAGATTTACCGATGGTTCCAGCATTTTTAAAAGCAGGAGATCTGGCGTTCAAAATGACAGCATCGTGAAACAGGTGATGGTTTCAATGGCCAGGCTGCTTCAATTGCGTTTATATTTCATGGACTCATACCGATATGCAGAGTGGTCACTCGCTCCTTGTCAACTAAAAACTCCAATACCACCGCCATGTTCCAAACCATACTTTCAAACCACACACACTCGATCGAGGACCAATACCTAGAGCCCTACTTCTTCCAGGACCAACACCAACACCTGACAAGTTCACCTCTCCCAGAACACAAACATTTTAAACTGCCTTGAAGTTGACTCATACGGCAGCAAAACAGCAGAGTGTCATCGGCTATGAGATCAACCTTACCTATCGTTAGGTTGTAAAGCTTCGAACTTCAGGTGGAAATTTGTGTTCGTGACTCGACTCGTCACTCGAAGTAGAAGAACACACGACTGAGGCCCCCGCAATCGAGCCGTTGTTGACCTCCTCACAAAACGCAGCCTTCATCTCGAAAACTGTCACAAAACAAAGCCACCATCTCGAAAACTCAGCTCAAGTACTTTCTTTCCTTCAAAGCATCAAGACGACATGAGGTAAGACTCTCAACATCAATGGTAATGAAACGTAATTGTATTCATTTGTCATAGAGTTGGATTCTCACTGGTCTCTTGAACGCTCTTCTTCAGTCTCAAGTTGATTACCTCCTTTGCCAGCATCTTGGCGTTGCTGGCAGTTCCAGTTTCTTCCAGCTTTCTCGAAAACTCTATCATCGGAGACTTTCGTTCTGTGAGCGAAATGAGCCCTCAAGTTGTCCTCAAATTCATTGGTGACTGCGCTGGCAAGACGATCGACACGTCGTCGTGTCTGGTCTCCACAGTCGTTACCAACACCTTTGGCAACGAGAGATGGGGAGACCGTTGCGCGCCATTTGAACAATCCCAGGCAATCGATTTGGCGACCCAAGCTTATCTTTCTTGCGGAGGTGGAGACACGACCGCACACACCGACTTGATCACTGTGCTGTCGGACAATCTGTGCTTTTCCAAGCTCTGCGAAGCCGATTCTCATCTCGACGTTGAGTCGACATGGATGCGGACATGCGCCAACGTCCATCTTCCGTACTCCAAGCCCCGCATGGATGGCATGTTTGCCATCATGCCCGATGAAGACGACGTCATTCTATCTTGCATGCTTCACGAAGCGATGTCGTCGCCTCCATCCGACTTTGGTTTTGTCAATCCTTCCGAAACGTCCGTTGCAAAATGTTACCCACCTGGATACCCCGCTCTCGACGCACTTTGCGCCAACATTTTGGCACCCGAACTGTACAGCCGCTGCTCTTCGGCTGTTGCAGAATCCAATACAATGTTTTCTATGATCACTGCCTTGGTCGCCAACCCAGACGACATCACGGAAGACTTTTGCAGTTCCATGAATATGATCGCCGCGCCGAACAATTTGGAGTGCTTGGTCCCTCTTTGCAACTACACTGCTCCAACGTCAAGCCCATCGGCCACGCCTTCATTCGAGCCGTCGGCGCAACCGTCTCAAGCTCCCAGCCATGCCCCGATCTCCTTGCCCAGTGGATCGCCTTCCACCGATCCGAGTTCAGCACCGTCCTCCAGACCGAGCGTTGCTCCAAGCGTCGCTCCAAACATCGCCCCGACATCTGCTCCTGTGACAGCCCCACCCACACATGTGCAGGCGCAAGCGAACGTTGAGACAGAGATACAGTCCGAGTTTACTCTTGTTGGAATCAACGACGTGGACGTTGGAGATTCGGACCTGGACGCCTTCTTGAGAGTCTTGTCGACTGCTGTTCAATCCGTGGGAGCCGATGCAGTTGATGGCACCATGACGGTGGAAATCGTCGTCATTGGAGGCATTCAGACTCGGAAACGACGGCGACGACACCTCCAAGACGGAGAGGAAACGTTGGATGTTCAATTCCGAGCCACTGTAACGAGCGAGTGCTTTACCAACAACTGCGCCAATGGTTCGTTTTCCACAAGAGTTGCCCAGAAATTCCGGGGTGCCTTGGTTTCTTCCATCAACAATGGATCGTTGGCTGCGAAAATCAACCAAGAAGCTGAGAGCAACAATGTGGATGCTTTGACTTCCGTTACAGTCGAGAGAAAGGCCTTGAGCTATTTCACTTTCACCGGCAAGGTCTTGACGGATGACACTTCTGCCGGCCATACCACTCGCAAGCTGGTCTCGATCCCCATGTTTGCAGTGTCCTTGCTGTCCCTGTTCAACCTCGACATCTAACTCGACTTGGAAAAGCTTGAGTGGTTTCGGTGTGGAAAGATAAAAATAAAGTGGGCCTCTCACCATCAACGCCCAATCCCTTGCAGGGACCAACAAGAGAGGAAGTTTCTAACATTAATCGACTTCAAATTGTCTACTTTTACTCAACCACTACCTATTGCATCTCGCAAGCAAAGCGGTCCTTCCAGCTAGCCAGGTCATGTACGTGTGCGTTGCCCGAAAATCATTGTGTTGCTGGTAGCGATTCGATTCATTACTATAGAACAGTTTAATCTAAAAAGTTACATACCTAACATTTTGATGTCCAGATCAAGGCTTGGCCCTGTGAACCAGCCCGGGCGCAAAAACACAGCGCAACATTGGAGTGGAGCCTAGAGAGACGGAAGCAAGATGGGACGAGTACCGTTTGTTGTTGCCATGTAGTGATGTACGGTAGAGCTCTGCGGCTCTTTGTTGTTTTCATTCATCTTCCCAATAGACCAAAGAAACATAGTATGGAGCGAAGTGGAGTAGAGTCCAACTCTCGTTCATGTCTGAACAGTGTGTGCAAACGCATCCATCCAATCCTCTATGGGTCTACCGATGATGATGATGCATCTTCTCCCCCATTGTCCTCTTCACCGTTGTGTTCCGAGAAGATAATGGGTACCCGATGTCGCCTGAGATAGGCTTCATCATTTCCCAATTGTCCCTCCTTGTCGTAGTATAACTGAGCATTGAGTTCTTCTTCGAATCTGTCTTCCTGATCGACGGAAAAGGGCGATCGTCTTCGAATTTGCATCGCCTCTTTGACATTGGCGCGGTGCTCCATTTCTTTGAGTTCCTTGTTTCCCAGACAGTAATCTCCCACAATCTCTCTCATATTGAACATGAGTGTCATGAGGATAAAGCTCATGGCAATGTACGCCAAGACAAAGGAGCATCCGTGGGTTTCCACATTCTTGAGTTCCGTCCACCACGAGACAGCGGCGACTCGTGCACGACGGCGTCGACGACCACCAAAGAAACGTCGTCTCTGCTTATTCACTGCCGAATCCTCCATAGTAGAAGAAGAAGTACGAATCATAATGGGGAGTTGTTCATCCGACAAGACCGACACGTCGCACGCTTCCGAAACATCACATTCCATCTGCAGCATTTCCACACCGTCGTTGTCGTCGTGTTGTCCGTTCATGGCTAATTGTGGTTGCGGTGCTTCTCCGGCACTTTCTCCGACTACTACTAGTAGAGTATTGTCGTTGTTGTTATTGACCTCCATTGTGGTGGCTGTTTGGTTGCAATTGGTGGATGCTTGGTTCTTGGTTGTGGTGAGATGAATCGAATCTGATCGTAGACTTTGCCTTGGACTACTAGCAGCAACAATATCTTGATCAGTTGCAACCAACGACTATTGTTGTTCTCTCGATGACAGGCTTTGGGGTCAATGCTGACAAACCTAATGAGTAGGCTCGTTTGTTATTTTGCTAGACAAACCAATACGAGCTGTAGAATTGAAGGGGTATCTGCATGGAGTGGATACTAAAATGACTTTTGCAACAAGCAAGTCGTTACACTGTTGGTTTGTTTGTTTGGCGAGAGTTTATCTTGCCAGATAACCCAAAGGCCCAAGCAAAATGAACCTGGCACAGCAACCTCACACCAGATAATGGATGATGTCGAGGAGATGTTTCTTTGGGCCTGGTTTTTTGTTCTTGTGAATGAGCCAACGCAACGGAAGCAACACAGCATTGAAAAAAGCGCGACAAAACTGCGACCAACCAGCGATCACTGGCTAGCAGTCCCCCATGACTCCCTTGCCAGATACTCAAGTCACAAAGTCTTCAACTCCACACAACAATGACTTATTGACCACATGTATTGGAGTTAAAGCAAGATGCTCTCTGCTCCGTCATGTTTAGATGCCACGAACACGGTCAATGCCACTTACGATTGCAAAGGGGAAGAAAACGGATGATGACGCAAGCAAAAAACGTAACCCGCCAGTAAAGGCCATCGCTAACGAACTGGCGGGTGAACTTTGGCATCCGATAAGTCTACCATTCCACAAGGCTGAAAGGAAGGAGATGAGCTTGATACCACATCTATTGGTAGCTTTGGGGGAAGTGGACGCCCCAACATCCGCTCTTTCATGCTGCCACGGTGCTGCAGGACAAAAAGTTTCTCCCAGGAGATTTTGCACACTCAGTGCTACCGGTAGATAGTACAGTAGTCCCCATCCAGCCAGGTACTAAAGCTTGAGGAAGTCTTTCCTTGCTTTGATCTTTAGCTCGGTGCTCCGTTGCAAACAACTACCAGAAGCTTTCTTGGCACTGCAGAAATAAACATGTGTATGTTTCTGGGGATCAATTGCCACTGGCTAGCTCAACAATCTCCGGTAGCAATTGCCTCCAGTTTCGCACCAGTCAAGGAAACAATCGAGCAAAGATTGAACGGTGGCTTGAAAGGATGCTTGGAACGACTCCTGGTCTTGGTAGCTTGGCTACATGTTTGGATACCTGCGAAGCACACACATGTTGAGGGTTTGCTGGTAGAAAGGGAAATGCATAGGCACGGCAACATGCAGATTGTTTGTGGCTGATTATGATTCCCGCGATCATTGGATTACAAAAGCTAAACTAGCTACCGTACTGTAACAAGCTACAGTACCGGTAGCCGGCCAGCGACCTTTTCAATATTTTTAATTTATCAGCACAGGCGACCGCTACCCGCCGGAAACTCCAATGCTCCAATGCCTCCAATGCATGCTGCATAGCCCCAGCAAACTGCCTATTGTTGAACCAGCTACCCACAAGCTCTTAGCCCTTTAGATATACGCCGCCATCATGTCTTCTTCTACTGATGCTGAACCTGCCGCAAAGAGGCAGAAACTGCCTCCTCCTTCTGATTCGGTATCAGTTGTATTCATGGATCAACACGATATCTGGATCCAGATCCTCGCCTTTGTGGGCATGGGGCACTACGCCTTTGTTGGAAGTGTCAGCAAAAAGCTGAATCACTTGTACAAGGTATATTGTGCTTCGGTCCAGAATCCTCCAAAGGTGAAGGAATACAATGACGACACAGAAGAGTGGGACAAGTTCTCGGCAACCGCCACCGATACATTCTATCGTGTTGCGCTTTGCAATGTGCCCTCTGCTAAATTCTGGCACAGTGACAATTCAAGCAGCAAAGCTCCCACCTATTATAGTGCTTGCAATGCAATTGCCAGAGTTGGTAGTATTCCTGTTCTACAATGGGCTCTAGAATGTGGATTCCCATGGGATTCGTGGACTTGCCGCATGGCCGCTGCAGGTGGTCATTTTGAATTGCTAAAATGGGCACGCGAGAAGGGATGCCCCTGGGATGAAAAAACTTGTGCTGAAGCGGCTCGGTATGGCTATTTTGACATTCTGAAATGGTCTCGCAAGAATGGCTGCCCATGGGATCATTGCACGTTGTCTCTTGCTGCTGAAGAGGGTCAGTTTGAAATCCTGAAATGGGCCCATGAGCATGGTTGCCCATGGAATCACATGGCTTGCTGTTTGGCTGCTCGATATGGTCACTTGGAAATCCTCAAGTGGGCCCGTGAGAATGGATGCCCATGGGACAGTAGCATGTGCTCCTTTGCGGCAGAGATGGGCCACTTGGAGATTGTAAAATGGGCCCATGAGAATGGATGTCCATGGAACGTCGAGACTTGTTCTTCTGCTGCTGAAGGTGGCCATCTGGACATTCTGATGTGGTCCAGAAATAGGGGTTTTCCATGGGATGCCAAAACCTGTACAAGTGCCGCCAAAAATGGACATTTGAATGTTTTGAAATGGGCGAGAGCAAATGGCTGCCCTTGGGATCATGCACCACAACTTTACCGTTTTCCATGCTTTTGTCTTGATCTTTCTCAGAAAATTCTTCTTCACTTCATGATACACTCCGAGTTTCCTTCCTTCTTCGCCTCTTCTCGAGAAGGTCCTTGATGTACTCTTCGTCCGATATCTTGAACCCGTCCTTCGTTAGCTTCTTGCGTTTCACGTCGAGTCCAATCTCGAACTTCTTTGGGTTTTCCTTGATGTCATCTTTATCGCTGTAGTATTCCGTTCGTCGGCTGCCACCTCACCACTGTCTTCAGCATCGTAGAGGGTCCAGCATGGATCCCACATGCCCTTGAATTTCCCAGCAGCAAGGTCAGTCGTTTGGTGTGAGGCCAGTAGGTCGAAGGCACTTGCCCTTCGATGGTCTCCACATTGATCGAGTCCACAGTATTCCAGCAGCCTTGCTGTTCTTCTTCTGCAGACTTTCGATCTTTCTACTTCGTCGTCCGACAACTTGCCCGTACCTGTAGGGTTTTCCCAGTTGTCCGGCTTGATCTCCGTAGAGTCTTCATTAGTTCTACGTACCATACTTCGATAAATGGCCCATCATCTTGACCTTGTAGAACCTGAACTTCTCATCTTTCCCATCGAAGATGGGATACTTGCTCGACGATGATACCTCTACCTCCGTAGCATCTTACTTACTTCTCCTTTCTGTTTGACAACCTGGATCCAAGCTCACTCTTTCCTGATAGCTATCGTTTTAAAACGTGTTGAAAAGGTGTGAACTTGAACGCACAATTTCTCTAATTTAATCAATATCCTTCCAGCTCTACTGTCTAGTAGACTGGCTATTCGTTTCGTTTTCTCTTTCTCTCTCGTTCAGATTGTGAGCTCTATAACTGAGCTCCGATATGCATACATATACCAGGATCTTTCGATCCTCTGTTTCTCGCAGTTTCATCTGCAGATAGATCTCGTTGATCTATCTTCCTGGAGTGCATGGTTGGCCCTGGAGGGCTTTCCCACTTACTAAACCTATGGACCTTCATCTGTCCATTCATTTGTCCCGTCCCGTCGCTCCTTGCATTCATCTCTTCGACCTAACTTCCTAACCTTTGTAGTTGCATCATCTAGACGACCATTGTCCTCGTTCCTCGTACACCTGGCCATCTGATGATGATCGATAACCATCTGATTTGAGTCACACATCCCCAATACGAACCGTGACTGTGGATCCCGAGTCGTCTGTCCGTCATACGAAAATACCTTTCTAACACCTACTCTAGTACGGTACTACTGTAGGGTTAGGTTCAAAGATCCCGCTCCACTCCCTTGCTTTTGTCGCTCGTATCCATAAGGCGCCCAAAGAGGTACCGGTACGGTACCACCACCGGTGCGGTACGAGCATAGCAGGAGAACTCAGGGCAGAAGCCAGAATGATGCAATCAACCTAGCTAGCTAGTCCAACTACCTATAGCTAGCTAGACAATCACCCCCAAGAGTCGAGTCATTCGCAATATCTCGTTAAATTTCACCCTACCCATGCTTCTCCTATCCTCGTCCTCTTCAATATCTTCTTCTCAGCCACCACAGTTCTGGACTCTCATTCTATTCTCCCATGCGCAGCAGATATTCTAGAACTTCCACATGACCACCTTCCCCCGCAACTTCGCAACATATATGTGAAAATCCCAGGACACCCATTCTCATAGGCATACTTGAGCAGCACAGTCGCATGTAACTTCAGTCCATGAACAACCATTCTCATGAGCATACCGAAGAACATCCAAATGTCCTCCTGCAGCAGCAAAAATGCAAGTCTTTTCATCCCATGGACAACCATTCTCTCGAAGCCATTTCAGACTTGCTAGCTGACCACCTGTAGCAGCCGCAGCACATGTTCCTGCATCCCATGGACAACCATTCTCATGGGCAAACTTGAGAATTTCGTAATGACCACATCGAGCAGCGTTCTCACATGTAGTTTTTTTCCATGGGCAACCATTCTCATGCAGCCATTTGAAAACTGCCCAATGCCCGCATTCCGCATTCAAGGAAGAAGTTT